GGGTGAGAATCGATCCAGGATCTATGAGAATACCATTGTATTAGTATTAAAAGTTTAGAACCACCTAAGTCGTAACACCCACCTAATAAAAAGAGACCAAAAAGGACAAGCATACCATTACACAAGCACCCACTAAGACCAACAACAGTGAAAAAGGCATCTCCATTTAATAAAGTTTAATTTTTTTGTCTACAGCAGAATCAATCTTTATTCTCCAATAATACCAACACAATTATTATAAAACAGAAATCCGAAAGAAAATTTTTATATACACTCGGTTTTCAGTAATTTATTGAATATCGGGTACACTTTTGTCAGATTTAGTGTTACTTTTGTTAAATTTAGTGTCACTTTTGTCAAATTTATCAATAAAGCATAAATAACTTTTATATATGTCAGGGTAACTTTTGTGTGTTTTAGTGTAACTTTTGCACATTTTATTGTCACTTTATAACTTATTTAAAAGTTTGTCAATCCGAAAATAATGAGTATTTATTATACAATTAAAAGTATGAAAATTAATGTCTAATAATAACTGAATTAATCAATAAATTCAGAATTAAATTAAAGGAAAGAAAATGAGCAGAAATTGGCTTACAGTAAACGGAGGCGAATTACAGAAGAAGAGAGCTCCAAATTTTTTTTTTACGAAGTAGTATATTTTTTCGATAAAATAATGGGAAAAAAAAATTCTCTAAATTAGTTTGGGTGTTAAAATCACATAAATGAAAATTGACCTTCACCAACCCAGAAAAGGTCCTGTTTGATGTACTACGGAGTATAAAACTATAAAAGTACTCGTATAAGGTACATCTTGAGAATTTTTAACAGAGGTTTTTTTTTTGTTTTTTTTTTTTTTTTTTGATAAAACAGATTTTTTTTTTTTTTCCTTTTTTTTGAGAGAAAACAGAAATTATTTCATGTTTAGCCAAAATTAGAAAATTTTCAAGTATTTTTACTTGTTGCATATTTTGGTGATTGACTTTCCCTCTGATCAATTATTTCGGCTATATCCTCCTTTCCTTAACGTCTTGTTCCGATTTACTGAAAATAAATGAACTTAACTCAAGTTAATAGAACTAAAATGAATTACTTCAAAAAAAAAAAAAAAAAAAAAGAACTAAAATGAATTGTTTATGAGAGAAATAAACTAGGAACCGAACTGATTAGAGTTGAATTGAAATTAAGCTGAACAGATTAGCCCTTAGTGTTGCTTTTTTTTTTTTCCAAAGAATTTGTTTTTTTTTTTTAAATTCTAATATGAGATATCAGAAAATATCGTGATATATTTTCCGTATTGATGAGAATAATATATATAAGTTTATTAATTTTAAAATATTATTTACTAATATATCTTTAGGATTTATAGTTATGGTGGTATATCTTTTAGGAAGATTGTTTTCTATTTTATGATATTTGGTTTTGTATAAATCTAATATATATATATATATAAAGGAGAGTTTTTCCCCGAGTTTTTAGAGAGCCACGTAAGATTTATTTTTTTCAATGCGCCACGTAGGATAATAAATTTTAGTGGTAGCCAATTAAATACGAGATTATTAATTTCTTTTAGAATTAAATAATTTAACTGATATGTAAGCAAAATTGACGAATGAGATTCTAAAGATTAAATTAATTAAATATAAATTATTATCTTTTGATATCAGGAATTTTATCTATATATATAACAAATTTTAGCACATAAATATATATATATATATATATAAATTATTTTAAAAAATTCAAACAAACCGTGCATCGCACGGGCTTCATCTAGTATTTTACTATTGATGAATAAATCACGCCATTCTATTATTTCTTTCACCCAAATTTGTCAAATACTAAGGCCCCGTCACAGCTGAACTTACTGAATTATTATTGTGTTTTTTACTAAAATGAAATTATTATTTTTAGTGTACTGAAATTATTTTTAGTGAACCGAAATTATTTTTATCGAACTGAATTTATTTTATCGTAGAGTGAACAAGGCCTTTTTTTTTTTTTTCTTGAAAGTCAATTTTCATTTCACACTTATCAGTATATTATTCCAGTTACAAATTTCTTTAAGTTCAATTAGTAAAATTTATAACATAAAAAAATGTATATTATGAACATAAATTGTTAAAGTGACATATGTGAATAGTGTAAATGTCAAATTGTTGTAAGTAAAAAAAAAAAAAAAAAAAAAAAAAAAAAAAAAAAAAAAGTAGTTATTGTACATTTATAAGCATGTGCTTTAAATTTCTTAAACATATACTATAGTCATAACATAAAATTGTGCGAGTAATGTAGAAACATTACATTAATACTCGTACAAAAATTAAAGTTATATTTAGTTATATTTAGATATACTACATATTGATATCATACTCCTTAAGAGTTGACTTATACAATAAAGATAGAGATATAACAAAATTTGATTATTGTTATTGTTTGTTGATAATAATACTGGTTTAAAAGTTATAATTAGTTATATAAAGTTGTTAATGCCTTAATTGGTTTTTTTTTTTTTTTTTTTGAATAGAAAAAATATTTCATTTCATTAATTAAAAGTCATATGACATCTACAATAGAGATTCGACGTTAACAAATACATAAGATATTGAATCAAATAGAATTTTCCTTCATAAAAACTACGATCGTCGAGTAGATCTTGCACTGCGGAGCATCTCCCGCTTATATCGCTGAAAATTACCGCCTTGTTGGAGAGACAATCTAACGATCCTTTGTAGCCGTGAGGATGATTTCCTTCTGATTCATCTGTTCGTATTCGAAAACTTGATAACTTTTTCACCAATGAAATAATTTCACGACAATCCATTAGATCTGCTACCATGGATTCAAAACTAAAAAATTTCTCCCTCGAAAAGAGGAGATAAACCTTGTCTTTCGAAGGAGGTCGAAAAAACCTTGTTTTTCGAAGGAGATCGGAAACCCTTTTTTTCGAGGGAGAAAAGTTCCTCCCAGAAGGAGGAAATATTATTATAAACCTAAAAAAACAATAAAGAAACAAGGATTGGGGCTTTCCACCGATTAAAATCGATGGAAGCCCCTTCAAAATTAAACAATGGAGGCTAGAGTTTTGGAAAGAGAAAGGAAGAGAGAGAGAGGAGGATTTTTTAACTGGTTATTGTTTGTTAGTAGAATAGTAGTAATGCTTGTTTTAAAGTTATAATTAGTTATATGAAGCTGTTAATGCTTTAACATCTGTCTAATATTTTTGATGAAGTAGAAATATAAATATGAAAAAGACCTACATAGTATTAAGTTTGGTAATTGCTTAAATGTGTGTCATCGTCCATACATGCCTTGATAGTTGATTCTAGATTTCTAGCTACCCTATTATCTCTACATTATAACATAACTTTGTATGTTTAATTTAACCAAACAAACATTTATAGAGGGATTAGCTTGTTTTCATGATGACATTATTATTAATGACCCCATTAATTTACGTTTACTCATAAGTTATCCCTCTATAAGACTAAAACTACTATACCTATTAATGCAAAGACATTAACCTCTCCTCATTTATTTTAGTAACTCTAGTACGAGTACTAATCTTTATCATTCGCAATAACCTTATTAATGCTATTTTTGTATATGGCAAAAGGGTCTCATCTGATTGACTGAACTGAGCTGAACCTAAATTAAATATTTTATGTGTGAAGAAATAAAGAATTTAACTGAAAATAATTTGAAGAGAACAGACTCTTTAATCTATTTGAATATACCATACCATCAACTAATAGTAGAACAATTCGTATATTTCATATAAAGATTTGTCTACTACTCCGTAAACAACAAAAGTGACGATACTAGTTGGTAGACGGGTGGTTTGACTTTGACAATTGACAACCAATATACTTGTTGAGCAGAGCTTAGCAATAACAAGCCAATAAGCATGACATCTTCACATCATTGGATACAGCTTTACGTACGGACTATTTAACAAGGCTTTTTTTGTCACTAATTTACTATTACTAGGCCCAAATCCATTTCAAAATCATGTCCATTAAGAGCAAGCTAAGTAAACATTGCATTTCTAGTTACTACATATATTTTTTGGTGTTAAGAGAGCCATAAAAGCGAGTGAAGAGAATTGATTTCAAGAAGATATATAATTGGGAGGGAAACTCTAATCACTTGAGCTATCCCTCACTCTCATTTCTAAATATTAACAAGTCCCTAGTACAATAATTAATTAAACAATGGAAAGGTACATAAATAAATATCTTTTTAGCAATTTGACAAAATATACCGTTATGTTTGATATGATAACAAAACTTTCACAAATATACTGTATATTGATATACCGTATGATACGATGTTACAATTGGTCAAGATTTTAATTACATTGACGATAATATGTTAATTAGGCCATCAAACAGTACAACAATTTTGAACAAACATGTTGGATTTCCTTTCTTTGCTTCGCGTATTACTTCATCCCTATAACGTGGTAAGTTCCTAACATTGACTATCTTGCTTAATTTTTGCAAGTATGTTAGATTCAATTATCCATATTTATGAGACATGAGACGTGCACCCATGATTAATTTAACTTATCAAACCTACTATCGGTCTCAAAAATTAATTGTATATTAACTAGGGACAATCGGGAGGGGATTGGAACCTAACCACCCAGAACTGATCCCCGAATCCGGATTAGCCTAAAGGGTGAATCGGATAGAACACCCCAAAAAAAAAAAAACTAGGGACAATGTGAACCTTCCTTATATTTTGGCAAACAATGGAGTACCCACTTGAACGGAGCCCCAATTAATCTTCAAGACAAAAATCCGTATATCTAGTGGCATTTCTGTAAATAATCAACAAAATATCCCAATCAGCATGATATTTTCGTAAATAAATCAACATTTATGGAACCCGCATTTAATAAAAGTTGATGATTTATAAATAAAAATGTCACTAGATAAACAATTTTTTTGTTTATCATGACGGATAGCTCAAGTGGTTAGAATTTCTTTCTCGATTACAGAAGATCCTGGCCGGAATCAAGTCTCATCACAAGTTACCTTTGTTTTTTTGACCATACACCAACATAATTAAGTGAGTGAGTGTTTTTTTTTTTTTTTAACAAAAGTCTAACCAAATAAGCTGACGAAAATGACGAATTTAAAGAAAGAAAGTCACCAAGAAATTGGAGGAAAATTATTGACATGTATGATTAAATTAGTATGAAGAGGCCAATATAACTCTAGAACAACTAAACAAGAATACAATTTTATGAAGCAAATTCATTTGATGAATACTACATAAAATGCCCCCCTAAAAAAATTAAAAACAACAATATAATATGTAAAATTATAAGCTAACCCATAATTACAAGAAGTTATAATAATCATGCATGCATTCATTCATGATGAACATAATTCATAATGCATCACATTGAGTAGGAACAAAAGAAAGTGTATCCTTTGCAAGATCATGGACCACCATCATGTTTTGTTGTTGAACATTACCAAGTATAGACATTCCACTTGATTTTCCCATTGCTAAGCATAAAATTCCCATGTCCGAATCTCCAATCATGTAATTCTCGCTAGGTAAATCTAGATCCGCCTCCTTAAAGTGAAAAACGAATTTTGGGACGTCCATACTCTTTGTATCCTTAGGCATTTTGAAGCATAGGTCAAGCCCGGCCGAGCCCGAATCATCCAATGGGAGGTTCATTTGTGAGGTGAAAGCCTTCTTCACTTGATCAAATGCACTTTCCTCTAAGTAGGTGATTGTGGTTCCTGAGTCAATGATCATCCCACCACTCCCATCTTCACCAAGGGTAAAAAGGTCTTTTTTGATTGGCAAGTGAGTTGACCCTACACTAATTCCTTCAAGGTTAAGGTAATAAAATGATGGGTGTGATGGGTTGTGTAGTAGTGGGGTTGTTATAACATTGTTTGATTTAGAGTTACTAGCTGATAATGTAGAGTTGGCATTAGCTAAGGATCCCATTAATAGTGTACTAGTTTTGGACCCATCAATTGAGGTTAAACAATAAGAAAATTTGGGCTCACCTAGTTGTGACACTAAGGATAATGGGCCTCGACCTAGCCCAATTAAGCCGGCACCTTGATTGAACCCGTTTCCCTCATTGTCGGCCCCACACCCGAACCCAATGTTTGGGACCGACACTTTGTCGGACCCTCCGAATGTAAACGTCTCGGTGGCTAGGACCCCTTGGGTTGAGGAGTAGTCCCCATATGTGTACATATATTGGCACCCATCTTGGCAAGTTGATGAGGGGAGGGCTTGACAAAGGTCATTAGAACAAGACATTTTAGAAAAAGTGGATGATTGAGATGGGTCAAAAATGGGTGTGGATTGATCAAAACACTCTTCACAAGGCTTACATTGAGTCCAAACCAAATCACTACCCGTATCCATTATAGCATAGAATTGGTTAGGTGGGGTTCCTATTGCAACATTCATTAAAAATTCACCATTACCCGGATGGACTTTGGACTCAACATCATAAGTACCCGTATTTGAAGCCAAGACCATTGCATTCATCCTTTGTACCCTAAACTTAGTCCGGTTGATGCCTCGTTGGATCCGCTCGAATTTGGTATAATTTGACCCATGATCGACGTGTTTTAGGGTAACCCGAAAGCCCAATTGGGTCGGTTTCACTTGATCAAGGGCCCTTCTAGAGGTAGAATGTACCGGTTTAGCACAAAAGTATAACAAGGCTAATGAAAATAGTGTAAAATTTAGCAAAGAATGCATGGAATATAGGTTCATATTGTTGTGTATAGAGAATTCACTACTATCTAGGACAAATATAATGTACAAATTACTATGGTTTACTTGAAAAGACAGGAGGTGTTTAAATAAAGTGGAGAGCTAGGAAATGGTCTAGTGTTTTATAAAATGTAGGAGAAAGAATTTAAGGAAGTACCAAAACCTACTTAAGAATGAGAAAGGAAAATTAGGCAAACAATTAAATCTTTATTCGCCTAATTAATTAAGTTGAATAGTAGAAGGTGGGATTTTTACAACTTGATGGATGTATTGCTGGTTTGGTGGTTAGGAAAAATGAGAATAAAGACTAAGATTGTGCAACTATATATGCACTAAATCATCTCAAGTTTCTACTTGAGTGCCATTTGTAATTATGGCTTCTACATCTAGAACAACTTTTCTAATTTTCCTTTTTTAATCTTGTAATTCACACTATTCTTTTGTAAATTGTAATTATAATGATTCTGTTAAACATCAATTAAAATTTTGAATTGTGGCATCTTAGCTTTTACTCGACAATTCTTAATTAGTTTCAATGTACATATATATGATTCGTTGAAATTTGATTAATTAATTCTCCATATTATTATACTATGAAAGTGAATGTCTCACCAATCACTAATGTAAATTATATGGTACACCCGAGTACACCTAAAAGTAAGGTGACAAGTACATGACATACACCGCCCGAGTATATGAACTTGATGTAGAATGTTACTAGGGTTGAGCATTAAGAATTCTGTAGTAAAGCAGACTCGAACATGGACCTACATCCATCAATATTATTACAAGGTAAATAGATGCAATCAATCATGGTTGCTTTGCAGCAAGGCAACAGCCTTCACCATTAAGATTCAAATTCTCTTTGATATTTGCTAAATTTTCAGCCATTAATTGATATTATTATCATTAATAAAAATATGATTGGATAAGAATGAGGCATAAGGTTGGTAAACTAACTACTTCCTCTAAAAGTTACAAGGTATACTCATGCAACTTTGGTCTATTTAATTGGTTTCCAAGCATTGTCTTGTTTATGTCAATGAACTTTTGTTAGGTTAGATTTGAAGCATTATGCATGAAATCATCATCTTCGCCTTCTTCCTTTTGATCATTTGACAGCAGTTGCTTCAAATATGCTAATCTTCTCAACCACAAACTAGCTGGTACATACTAGTATACTACATCCGTTGTCTTGCCAACGTGGCTGCGCGGCTGCAGATTGCCTTGCCTGCAAGTTGCGAAGCGGATGCTGTTTGCAAATCAAGTAACAATATGCAAGATAAGTGTATATGATAAGACAAATCATTTCATCTTCTATTGTAAGTTACCCTGTATAATAAGATTAACCGAAAAAAATGAAACCTGACCAAATTGTTTGACATGTCTACCTCCAAAACAATTCAGAGTGTTTGCTGACAAGAAAATGCCCTAACATCTGAAACAATTTTGACACATCTCTAACATGTTATTTTATGTTGATTTGATTGAAGCAATTAGCTATGCTATCGAGTATGGTTACCAATTCTGATGTAACGGCCAAATGGATGTTAAACTGAAACAAACGTAAACAAACAGCAGGAAAGACCCGAATTGGCATTATCAAGCTTTCAACAATATGGTTAATAGTACAACCAAAATCTCTTCTTGGCCTTAGAAGCTAGCACTACATATATTACTAAACATATAATAACAATTAAGAGGACAGACTGACAGAGACTATTATAAGCCAACAGCAGATGATGCTTTAGACCGGGATCTATTTTTAGCCAACAGTATCTGATTGGCTCGCTCCTCTTCCTCTTCTAGTTTCTTTCTTCTAGCAGCTTCTTCCTTTTGTCGCTGAATCAACTCCAGTTCCCGCTGGCGTTCCTCCAATTTCCGCTGCAGCTCTAGAGCTTCTTTTCTCTGAGCCTCTTCCACTCTCCTCCGGTTCTCTTCAAGCATCTTATCTAGCTCCTCTCGCTCTCTCCGTGCTTGTTCCTGAATAGAATTTTATACATAGGTTCAGATGGCAGCAATTTCAAGACACCTTAATGACAAAGAACTCTAATGGGTTGGGTTTCTCAAGATTTATCAAATTAATCATAATGGAAGCAATCACAAATAAAGGCTAAATATGATCCTCTAACAATATCATCAGGATACTTCCACAAGACCACAACTATGATCTTAGATATTTTCTCACTTGATTTGCTTGCTAATGGATGCATGACAGTCCAACTTAAGGTGAAGATTTTTTATTCACTATCGGTGACAATTATATATAATGGATACTAGCACCGCAAATGAAACAATTGATAGTAAGAACATATGAAACAATCAGTATCATGGTTCTGAGGAGAGTGAGATCACATTTCTTTAGAAAACATAGTTGTCCTAAGGAATACCATGTTTAGAAAATTATAAAGGCTTAATTTCTTGTAAAAAAAAAAAAAAAAACTTTTTCAGCAAAAACAAGTTTAGGGCTCTGTTCAATTTAACTTGATTTAGCTGAACTTTGTTTGTCAGAAATTTGCTGAACTTCATTGTCTAAACTTATATTATCTGAGCTAAGTTAAGATAATATAAGTTTAGCTCAACAAAAGTAAGTAATATAGCTGTCAAAAAAAAAACTTTTTCAGCAAAAATAATATAAAGACTTTTTAAAAGCTTGACCTAAGGCTCCAATTTTCTGAACACCATCCTACTAAACTAAACTAAACCAAGCAACAGATCAGCAAAAATGAGTTTTGGGAAACAAAGACTTGCTGTATCAAACACACAAAATATTCAATTACCAATAGGCAAATGATGGTCCAACCGGACACAACCAACATTCACACGACAAAGAAACCAAATCCAACGTCACGGAAAAAAAAGTATACTTACTTCTTTCTGCCTTGCCTCCATGAGAGCTGTTTCCTTCTCTTTCTTAAGCTGAGCAGCCACATCATCAAACATCTTTTTCTGGCCTTCCTCTACACGCCTTTCGATATCTAATTTCACTTCTTCAGAATTCAACGTCTCCTCAACATTCTTGCGTATAGCTTCTTCAATTCTCTTAGCAGTCTCTTCTTCTAATAATTTGAGTTGTATTTCCTGCTGGATCCTGGTTGCAAAAATAACACAAGTCAAGTACAACTGAAGACTGGGTGCAAAAAAAAATTCTGACAAACCATACGTGAGATTAACAACAACGATCTCACAGCATATTCTTCCTTTCATTAAGATTATCTCACAGCATATTCTTCCTTTCATTAAGATTATCTTCACTAGTCAGCAGAGAGCTTAGCCTTCAGTAAGATAAATGGCTTACGTAATGCTCCACACTTTAGCAGGTTGTACCCTAGCTTATGCAATGCCATACCTCTCTAACAGGTGGCTGGTCCATAACACATGAGATAATTAACACTGGGAACAGTAGATAAACGACGCAGCACTAGATCATCAAAATAATAAGTTGAAATATAGCAGTAGCTTCCTTCAGAAAACCCGGTAAAGAAGTTCAGGCAACCTGTAGCATATTTAGATCTAATTATAAATCCAACAGAAGCACGCGTCAGAATCAGCTTTAAAAGATATGAAAGAGACTACGTATCAGAGGTAGCTGCAAGGAAAGGTCCAGGTCGGCCAAAAAAGCAGACAAAGGCACAAGGCAAAAGAGAAACAAGGTTGATACTTCACAACTAATGAAGGAGAAAAGCTAACATGCAGGGATGTCCAATCAAATGGATGGAATTTTAGAGAATTATTACAAAAAATGCAGCACAAAGTTGATTGACTTCATCTATGAAACACTAATGCAGAACATCAAACAGAACTAGATGAAGCAACAAGAGTCAACACCACATGGAATATTGGAGTCCCACTATTAACGTTTTAATTAGAGGAAAGGTAAGTAAGAAGGAAGCAGCTCTACCCTAGCTAGTTGAGCTTAGTCCAGATTTAAACATAGAAAAGCAAATAGACATCATGAGAGGTTAGTCAGAGCTTAAGATGGCACATCAATGAAACAACCTTTTCTTTTCTTCTTCTTCTTTCTTTTGTTTCTTTATGGCCTCCTTGCGATCAGCTGATGCCACACTTGGACTACGGGACTTGCGTGGAGGAGACGCAGATGAACTCCTACTTCTTCTCCTCCTATAATGTCGTGCCGTTGGAGAACGGCTCTTGCGACGCCTTACAGGAGAACGGCTTCTGCGACGACGTGGGGAGCTTGACCGGCTTCTTCGCCTGCACAAGATAACAGTCAGCTCAATATACAACCCGAGCTTTTAAGGATGAACTCAATACATGCAAGGTTTCAAGCTTGCCCCAATGTATAAGAAATTAAACTTTGGGATGAAAATAAAAGAGATTGATTTCCCATCAGTACAGGTTTTCATGGCCCATATCTTGTCTTTGCCACAAAATTTTTGCCTGGTCCATCATTTGTTCTGGGAAATGTAAAAGGTCATTTTAAAAAAGAAAAATTGTCATTTGCACCGTTCTGATGTAACTTTATGGTTAAAGAAGCACCTTACAAAAATGCTTGAAAGCATCTTTTTTTTTTTGGGCTTGGTGGTAATATAGCATCTTCCACCAGACCACAGGTTGCGGCCAAATATGTCAACAATCCAAAGCTGACCACAGTTTTTATGTGATTCAATTCTGGTATTGCTCTTCATCCTTTAGCCCCAATTCTTTTGATTTTCTTCCCCTCTCTCAAACTTTGTAGTTTGGGTGGGATCTTCTTCAATAAATCTTATGAACACACCAAGTTCAGAAAACTCTCATCTCCATATACCTTTTCAATGATAATTAAATTACTTTTAGCTTATATCTTATAGCCTAAGATATAAGACAAATTTCTAGCATCATAACACAATTTATTACATGGAAATGCCATGAAAGAACTCATCATGGACTTCGACAGCCTATTACAGTGTAAACACTATGAATCTTATAACACAACCTTTAAGCAAATAACTGAAGTACCACTATTAGAGATAATGCTGTTAAAAAAAAAAATGAAACTACCATATATTGAAGCAGATAGCAAATTTTATCAATGACGAATCTCCATAGCACACACCAGGCCACCATCCAATCAACATCAAAGGAGCATAATAATTATGCATCCATACAAGTACAAATATAAACTAAAACTAATGCTCCTAAAACTCCAGTAAAAAAGGTGACTTTTGATCTCCCCCCACCCCACCCCCCTTCTCTACCAATAACCCAAGTGCATATTGCATCGGGACAATATCCACTTCCAGTTTCAAATATTGGAATAAGTAATCACAATATCCCTCAATCTAAAACCATCAACACCCTCTGAAACACTTTGTATAAATTATCAACTAGAATCTCCAGAGCTTGTCCTTAGAGTCTATCCATGATCTCCATTAAGCATAGAATACACACCAATTCACTCATCCCTACCAGCATGCACTTCACTCGTCAAAAATCCACGATGACAAGAACTCGTAAGCATCAATAGAACAAAATCATAACATCACACTTAATCAGTTTGTATGAGCTAAAGCCAAGTCCTGTAATGCTAGTTATCATACCCAAGTACCTAAGTACCCTTATCAAAGAGCTAGCCACTCGGACGCCAAAAAAATGGAGGGTTCAAGCTTTCAACCCAACAAATTGGACCCAAAGTAATTCAGTATAATCCTGAAAATTGTAATGTAGTTTCCCAAATTTTGGATCATATAAATAAACAAACTTTTTTCCCACATTGTTGCATAAAGCAATTACCCACAATAATTGACTCAAAATTGCACCAAAAATTTCTAATTTGTAATAATTCACACCAATAAAAACAAAAATCACTAAAACTTGATACCATCAAAATCAACAGAATTATATACACAATTAACAGGTGATAAAACAATAAAAATAAATAAATAATTAAAGGGCCATAATAAAATCACCGATTAACAGGCGAACGGCTGCGATCCCTCCTGCTACGGCGGCTATGACGGTGGCTAACAGGTGACGGAGAATAACGCCGCCTATGCGACGACGACGGCGACCGCGAAACGCTTCGAGCCATAATTCAATTCATAAACCCTAGAATTAAACTTCTGGGTACACAAATTGAAGTTATAATCGATCAATTTGACACTAAATTAGCTGAAAAAAAAACCTAAATTGGAATGCAAAGAGAAAAAAAGATGAAGGGGTGAATTTAGGGGTTTTGTTTTTAGGCCCGAATAGATTGATTTTGTCTAATCGGGTATTTTTATCAAACCCGGGTCACATCTCGGAAACCCGGGTCATATCTCGGGTCTAAGAAACCGGCCCAGTGGGAAAAGCATAAGACGACCAATTCAAGTACAAGTACAATGGATTTGTTGAATTTTTTGGGAAATGTTGATTGTTTTAATTTGTGGACTTGTAATGGGAATATATTCGAAGTGGTGAGCTGGTGACAATAAATTAGATAAGATTAAACAGACAATCTTAGGAAAAAAATAATCTGATATATAAACGGAAACAAAAATTTGTATTTAATTGACTTATCACGCCAAATTGATAGGAAAAAAAATTAAATAAATTGATAGGAAATATGGAGTAGTTTGTTTGTCCTTAAAAAAAATTAAAAAAAAAAAAAAATTGTTCGTTTGTTATTTATAGTAACGTTTTAAACATAAAAAAAAAAAAAAAAAAAAAAAAAATCAATTATGCTAAATCTTTATTTGTAGAATCTCTAAACTACAAGCCAATATCAACTTTGAATGATTTAAGCAATGGAAAGCGTATTTTTAAGCTAGTTTTACAAGATACGGAGTAATAAACATGATAAACAAATATAAAATAATAACTTGTATTTTTTTTATTAGTATTATTATTTTACCCTTTTTATTCCCCCTTTTTAACCTTTATGATCCACCTTCTTTTTATCTTTTACCTATTGAATTGGTGATAAATCATTACTCCTTAATGAGTGTTTTCAGAAGATCTTCTCAAAGTTAAGATTATGCTTAAAAAAATTAATGAAAATGTTTGTTTGAATGCGAAGCATAATTATGACTATTAGATTCTATTTTTTGTAAGCAATAACGATAGACCAATATGGCCCATTTAAATTTTTTTAATATGCATATAAGGTATTGTTTTAACTCAGCTTATTTTCAATAATTTAAGACAAGGATAGCCAATTCAACTAACAGGTTACGGGTCATCCAAAGTCAATTTATCACTAATTTCTGATGAAATTTAATAAGAGTATGTTCTCATTAACTTAAATGAGCTGAACATAAATGAGCTAAATGAAGTTATGATCTGATCTGAACTGAACTAAATATTTTATGAGATAATGAAATTAGGAGCTAAACTGAATTAAACTGAAAATAATCTGATGAGAATAGGACTTGTGTTAAAATAAATTCTGATTAGTTCAGATAACCTAAAAATCAGGTGAATAAAACATAGCAAATATAGTGTAATTACTTTTGTTGGTAAAATCTCAAGGACTAATATATTAACTATGAGTAAAACAAAAATTGCCGACTTCATCCTCTCCCCAAAATGTATATGTGTCGCTCTTTCATAAAAAAAAAAAAAATTCCCGCGCAGATGCACTTATGATGTCATGTATTGTTTGGGTTTTTTTTTTTTAGGAATTGTTTTTTTTAAAATTCTTTTTTATTTCAGTCTTTTGAATATATATATATATATATATTATCTCTGGTTCATTTTAGTTGCAACAATTTTCATTTTGGGGTGGTTCATATTACTTGCAACAAATTTTTTTTCCTTATTTGGTAACTTTTGGCCTGTAAAATTACATATATGCCCTTACTTTTTTCCTAATCTATTTTATTAACACTCCTAATTTTATTTGCTTAGTTTGATGATTTAATTAATTAAATTAACTACTCCCACCAAATTTACCCCCTTCCCCTTTAAATTCCTTCATCTCCCAACCACCTTCATTGAATCTGCATTCAATTCTGGAAAATGGTTGGGAGAATTCAATTCTGGAATTTTTTTCTAGAATACAAACCCCCATCTCAAACCCTACCTCTTTAAATCTCTCTCTCTCGTCCTTTCTTATTCTCTCTCCTCTTCGCCTCCTCTTTCTCCTCAAAAAAACTGGGATCTTTCCCCTTTCTCTCTTTTCATCTTCTGGGTTTTTCACACCGATTCACCCCATTTTCACTCTTGAAATTTCTTTTTCTCAACAAAAAATAATTGATCTTGTAAGCCATGAGTCCCTTTCTTCTGGATCCACTCGATCCCCACCTAAACCTGAGGCAACCACGTACATACCTCGTCGTGGTTTTGGGGTGATGAAGCCGCTCCGTCGTGCTTCTGTAATTGCAAGAAGGAAGATTGTTGGGGTGAAGCTTGCTGAATATATCTCAAGCGACGAGGATGAGAAGCCGACAAAGGTTTCTGGGTCCAAAAGGTCGGTTCCGCCACCTCATAGCCCAGATCCGAAGGTTGTTTCCACCAAATAAGGTGGATCTGCTGCTGTGATGGCTGTTCCAACTGCTTCACCACCACCAGACGCCAATTTTGAAATTGGGTCTTCTTTGTTCCAGGAGCTGACTGCCGGAGAAGTCCTTCAACCACTCGCTTCTCATCCTATGACGGGTGGGAGTACTTCTGGAACTGGCGCTGGTACTAAGCGCTTGAGAGGCTTACCTCTAGGGGGGCAGGATCCAGATGACGTACTTGAGGCTTACCTCCAGATCTACTACCCCCAGTAGTCCCTTCCCCCATACTAATTGGGCAGCGTAATTTCTAAAACCCTGATCTTCTTCTTCTATTCCAATTTATGGTTAATTATTCTATTAATGAGTCCCATGTTCTTTGTTATGCCTAGTCTGATATTGTTGGTTGATTGGGTATGATTTGATGTGTTTCCTTTTATGTTTGGATATGTTGTTTGTGTATGAGTTGTTGGTTGTTTGGGTATGAATTGTTGTTTTTTAAATGAATTGTTGAGTCCCTTGTTATGTTAGGATATGATGTTAGGGTATGAGTTGTTGGTTGTTTGGATATGAATTGTTGATTTGGATATAAATTGATGAGTCCCCTGTTATGTTTGGCTATTATGTTTGGGTTTGAGATGTTGGTTGTGTGCTTCTGTAATTGTTTATGGATTATGAACTGGTCTGTTGGTGGACTTGTGGAGTTGTGATTGTGTGTTGGTTGACTAGTAGGATGATTTTGTTCATGAGTCCCCTTTTTATGATGCATTGAGTCCCACCCCCCACCCCCACAGCTTGCATCAAATTGAATCCCATCCAAATGATGAAGGGACTCATCTGATAGCTATTTGAGTGTCATGGCTGCTCTAGTTACCTCTGATGAACCGGTAACTACATTTTTTTTCTTTTTTTTTTAAAAAAAGGTTTTAATGTTATTTGTGTGTGTGTATTTTTTACTAGGAAAAATTAGAAAATAACACCCAAAAATTGTCACGATTTTGATAATAACACCACAAAAAAAAAAAAAAAAAAAAAAAAAAAACTTAGATTATAACACCACCAAAAAAACCAAAAATTCTGATTTCAACACCACTTAACTTTTTCATCCAAAAAACCGTTAGTGGGTCCCACATTGTACACGTGTCAATTGTGCATTGGATTAAAATAAATAAAAAACAAAAAAAAAAGGAAATTAAAAAAAAAGGAAAACCCTTAAAATACCCAGCCTCCATTGGCGCCGCCATTCCTACCGCCGTTCTCCAACTCAGCCTCCACCACCGTCACCCAATCCCAACCGACCACCCTCGACCCACAAAACCAGCCAGCCGACCACCCCTTGACTGCCGAAATCAGCCCAAACGTACCCACGAAAGAACCCGAACCCCGATTTCAAGGTGAGGGTGAGAGGAGTAGGGCGGTTAGTGGGTTTGGGTATGGGTGGGTCGGGGTTTCGGCAGTTTGGCGACGACTTTTGGTTGGGTTTGGTAGAGGAGTACGGTGGCTGGGCTGGTTAGGGTTGGATTTGGGTGGTTTGGCGATGGATTCGGGTCGGGGAGACGAAAATGGGGGCTGGGCTGGTTTGGGTTGGGGTCTGGGTGGTTCGGCTGGGGCCTGGGCTGGTTTGGGTTGGGGTCTGGGTGGTTCGGCGACGGCGGGGATCAGAGACAATGATGGGGCCTGGGCTGGTTTGGGTTGGGATCTGGGTGGTTAGGCGACGGCGGTGAGACGATGACGAGGGATGGCTGGTTTGGGGTCTGGGTGGTTCGGCGACGTCTGAGAGACAGTGATAGGGGCTGGGTTGGGGTGCCGACCATGGTAGGGTTAAGTTAGGGGCTGGGTTGGGGTGCCGGCCATGGGCGCCGGTGGTGGTGGTGGCTGGGTTATGATTATAGGGTTTTTCTTTTTTTTTTTTAATTTTTTTTTGAATTTTTTATCCAATAGTTGATTGACACGTGTATTGTGTGGGGCCACTTAACGGTTTTTTTTGGATGGCAAAGTTAAGTGGTGGTGAAAGCAAATTTTTGGTTTTTTTTGTGGTGTTATAATAAAAACTTTTTTTTTTTGTGGTGTTATTATCAAAATTGTTACAATTTTTAGGTGTTATTTTCTAAATTTTCCTTTTTACTAAGGATTGTGCAAGCAACCTAGGTACCTAGCTATGAAGTCATGTACTAATATATATGGATGTTTGTTATACAAAAATGAACTAATATTGTCGGTTAGTGTTATCATTGTTTAATTTGTATTTCAAAGGTACCTCTATTTATTTAAATTAAGATTGATAGAGTATAAAAATAGAATCCCATGCCTCAACAACAAGCTTAATCTTTTGGTTTAGTTTGTCCTTCAACAAGGATCGTTATATTACAAGTATTTTTATTTTGTATTTCAAATTCTTCGATGAGTATATAAATTCATATGCATATGGTTTGATTAGATCAGATTGACATTCATTTTTATATTTTGTTACAGTTCATGTAACTTATGATGATAGATATGCTTTTATGATCAACTTTAGAAGTATATATATGTAGAAAATAATAATAGGAATAAGCTATTTAATTTCAATAAATATGTGCATCACACAGGTCTAATATAGTAACTTAACATACTATTCAAATCACGTTCCTTTATTATTAGTAAATTCCCGCTAAAACTAATTGAATTATATATATATATATATATATATATATATATATATATATATATATATATATATATATATACTTTCTCTCTACGGATTAGTAATTAAGTTTACGATTCGTACATCACACGGACACTATGCTAATAACTTAATAAGGGGCCTCATAAGAGTGTCTATTCCATTTCCAATTACAATTGCTATTCTACAACAAAACTTTTTTATAGACAATGAATTCTCCAAAATCCCTTCATCATACCAAAGGAGTATGAAATAATAGTAGTTCTTTTTTTAAAAAATTAATACTTTAGGGTTCGTTTAGCATTACCGTGGTTTTCTGTTTTTTGGTTTTTTGTTTTTTAAAAGTATATGATATAAGCCCCATAATGAATCAAAAATTATTTAAACTTATTAAAATCATGATAATTTTAAAAACTGACAACTGAAAAGTGGAAACACCTTTTTCTTGTTTCTTGTTTTTGGTTTTCAAAAAAACTGAAAACCAAAACTGATGTCAAACAAGCCTTTAGGTAGTTGTTTTAAAAAACACGTGCCGTAGTTTTTGACAATTTTTTTTTTCTTGAGAGGGGATAAGACCACTCTCAATGGTGAGCAAAAAAAATGCTCCCCTACTCTCTCTACCCACTTTCTCTCTCAACAAATCACTTTTGCTCATGGGCAAATTTTTTTCACATTTTCTCTCCCAATGGTGAGCAAAAAAAAGTATTTACGAATTTATATCAAAATATATCAAAATGCATGTCTATTTATAGAGAATTTAATTTTATGACCGTTGGTAATTTTTTTTTTTTTTTTACAAAATATATTTTCCTGAAAATGCATTATAAATAAATAACCGTTGCAAACGGCTAGTATTTTCTGATTGGCTGGCTGCCTACACCCGCCACGTGTCGCGTCTTCACTAGCTGCCTCACTGCACGCGTCAGCCACCCAACTTTTTTTTTTTTTTTTTTTTCTGATTCTTCACTGCACGTGTAATCTCCATCTTCATTATTGTACCGTTTTATTTGTGTTTGCCAGCCAGCTGTGGGCCCCACTCCAATTACTATTCATCAATAAAAAATGCTCAAGTTTTGAGCTTTTTTGGAAATGCTCATGAGCTTTTTTTCCCATTTTTACATTTGCTCACCATTGTAGCTCATGATCATTTTTTTTACTCACAAAAAATTCTCATGAGCAAAAAAACACTCACCATTGCTAGTGCTCTAAGAACCTGTATTTTTGTTGATGTAAATGTCAACAAAAGGAAGGAAAATCAATAAATATTGCCAGTCAATGAGAGGATTTGTGAAGGAAGCAAGGGAAACAGGAAGGCCCAACAAAAATGACGTGTCAACTCATAATTGGACGCAAGACACCATAGCACAAGCTGTTAAATCACTTAAAATTACGAAACCACCCCTCACCAAATCAAAACAACTAGCTTCAGCACCCAGAAACCCCTCCTCAAATGACGAAAATACCCTCACCAAACCGAATCAGCAAGATTCGGACCCAATATAACCCGAACCAAATATGTTCGGATCCGAAATTAAAACAGTTGATTACAGATTTACAGGCTGTCAGCAACAAGTCCCTACCCTGCGTCTCCTCAACCGCTTTGGCTCTTTCTCTCTCTACTGTGTGTGTTTCTCTCTCTAGAATAGGCGGAAGGAGGAAGACGGACCGAGGTTTGGTGGATCCAATTATCAGGTGAAGAAACTCAGGTATTTTTGGATGTTCGATTTTTTTTTTTTTTTTTTTTTTAATTTCTGGAAATATTTTCTGTCAATGTCTGATGTTAGGATTTATGTAATGATTAATTTCTGGTGTTGTAATTTGTGTGTTGTTGGTGATGTTTGTTTGTGTTTTGTGGAATTGATGGAATTTTAATTTGATTGATTTAGTGAATTGAAAAATGAGATCAGTTTGAAATTAGGCGAATTTTTGTGAAATTTGAAGTGTTTTTAGTGGATTGGTGAGTGAATTGATGAGAGTTTTGAGTTGATATATTACACATTGATGAAGAATTTTGTTTTCCAAGTGAGGCTTCTTTGAGTGTTGCGTTTTAGTGTAATGGTGATGAATTGCAGGTGTTGAGTTGTGAAGGAATTTTAAGTAGGATAGAAGTCGAGAATGAAACTTTTGATTTAAAAGGAACGAAAATTTGATGATTAGTTTGTTTACTTGTTTCGAGAATGAAGAACATTTAAAATTGAGGAAATTATACAAGCAGTGGAAGATGTTGGATTTAGCAATGTAGTCATTTAGTGTATGAGTTTAAGGTTACCAGGAAGAGAAGAGGATTCTTGAGGATTGAAGATAGAGTAAATTATCTGAGGTCTACAGTATATTATAAGAGTCTGTTGTGATTTTAGTATGAGGGTGATGTTATCAATTCTCAATTAACAATGTGTTTGGGTTGAATTTACTTATATCATGAACATGTTTGTGTGACGCCACGTGTGAAGTACAAAGTATTATTTAGGTAATGTTAAAAAAGGTACTTCGTGTATTGTAATTATTGACTCATTGTAGGTAATAATGGCTTAGATTGGGACTTCATTGTAAGTGGCATATTTATGGCCTGCAAGCATAGTTGGTTACATGCCGATTTTTGTGACTCTGGATAAAATGTGAGTTAGAAGTTTGTTAACTGTATTGATGTTTCTTTTGTTAGTGAAAGTGTGAAATTAGTTTGGGTTATCAAGATGCACAGTGATATATTTGTATATGGAATTGCCATTGTTGGTGCTCTTCTACCAAATATCTATGTGAACTTTACTTAATTATCTGTTTTAAGTGTTGTGAAAGGATGTGCATTGTAGCCATAAATGTGGACTGGTGGATTCATTGGTCGTTCTTCAGCTATATAGCCTCATATTCATGTTTTTTTCTTCTTAAGTTTGATAAGTGAACCTGTATGTGAACAGCTGTGAAGTTTGGACGTGTATACGCTGTGGAAATGGAAAGTGCAGATGGTAGTAAGATTTCTAAGAGAACAGTTTTTGTCACCGTTGGAACTACCCTATTTGATGCTCTTGTCAAAGCAGTGGACACTCCTGAAGTCAAGCAAGAATTATATGCAAAAGGGTATACACACCTCCTGATTCAAATCGGTCGTGGGTCTTACATCCCTGCCAGGGTATTTTGAATGTTGGCCTTGTTGCTTCCTGAACTTGTGTGTGATGTTCTAGAGCATGGCATTATTCTTTATGGCGTTAAAATTGGTGATAATGAAAGAGAAAATAATGCTTTAGCTGGTTTCTCATTTGATCTTGCATTAATAAACTGCCTGTTGATCATCAAACATGATTTCCATTAATAGCAAGTGAGGCGTTAAAATGAAGTAATTGCCTGTTGCACATCATATTTGATTCCATACTGGGGTTTTGTCATTGCATGCTAGGCTTTTTATTGTAGATAAGGATACACTAGTAAATGTAACCTTAAGATACCTGAGAATTCATGTTGACTAAAATAAGGATAGAATCTTATTTTGGGTCTAGGTCCGGTTTGCAGTGGTGCATTTCAAAATTGTAACTAAATTAATTATAAAAGTTACAATGGCATCAGTCATACTACTGCTTGAACTCTTTACTTGATGTAGGGTCTGACTTTTTTTTTTCTTTCTCTGATTCACATGTAGTCAACTGGTGACAATGGGTCCCTAGCCGTTGAATACTTCACGTTTTCGTCTAGCATTGCAGAGAGCCTTTCATCAGCTTCTCTTGTCATAAGTCATGCAGGTATCTGTAAATTTTTTTTTTTTTTTTGAAAATTGGGTGCTAAATTGTTTTCTTTGATAGTCATTAAATTCTAGGCCAGAAATAGAGTATAAAATTCCTGAGCATTATTACTATCAAAACTTGAAAGGTTTTTGGTTTTCTGCAAGTATATTTTAGGAGACTCTCAGTGACTTGTCCGATGAGTTATTAGTTTCAGCTTGGGAAATTTCAGGTTCCAGTTGAGTGAATCTCAGCTCACCATTTCGTTTAAGTCTTTAGCAGATCCTTTCGGGTTTCTGGTGAAACAAATGTTGTCAAAAGCCTATATTTAGGATTGTGTTTTTGGGTCATCTCATTTTTGACAAGTATAGCTTTAAGCCTTCAAAGACAATAAAGGTCTCATGGTTCTCCCAGCAATTATTGTATCCCTTTTGATGGCCTTTAGGTATCTGGTGTTGGTCATAATTTTGTGAATCTTGCTATTATACAATATCTGATCAATGTTCTTTACTAATCCCTGCCTTATGATGGGCCAATTACGTGATTGAATCAGAGTTTAGATGATTGAGTGTGTACTTCTCCTAATGACTATTTGATAAATTGTGTTGGGGAGAGAAAGTTAAGGTTTGGCTTTGATTTCTATTCATCTTATGATGACTGAATTATGCTTAAGGTGCCTCCTCAATCATGTTTACTGCATTATTCACCCTGCTCACTTTGAACCTTTCTGTGGCCGCGGTATCTTCACTTGAATATTAGTTGCTTGGTCTGCTGATGCTCTTGTTACTAGAGTAACTGTATCTATCGATAAACACCCACACTATATTTCTGTCTTAGGCCTCAGCATGATGTGGGAACTTAGATGTATGCCACATTGCTCCAAGCTGGTCTAAACTTGTAAAGAGATTGATTGTTGAATTTCTTTGAGAAAATATGTGCTGGAACAAAGTAGTGAAATTTAATGAGATTAATTCCGTAGGTGAAAGACACCTTAGCTATTATCACTGTCAAATCAACAAAAGCCACTGAGAGTTGGTGTATGCTTTGTTTACCATAGTATGTTCTACTAGGACACAATTTGTCCAAGCTAATGCAAATATTACTGGTTGTCTTACAGGATCAGGCAGCATTTTTGAGTCATTGCGGCAGCATAAGCCTTTAATTGTCGTGGTGAATGAGGACTTGATGGATAATCATCAAGAAGAACTGGCAGAAGAATTAGCAGAGAGGAAACACTTGTTCTGTGCACACCCTCAAACCCTTTATCAGACTATTACAAGTATGGATTTAGATTCTCTTCTTCCATATCCTGCTGGTGACGCTAAACCGGTTGCAAAGCTTATAAACAAGTTTTTAGGTTTCCCAGAAGATTAACAAAAACACATTACTTGATCCTCCAACAATTTAAAATGTGTCAGTGCTTAATCAGACTGAAATCTCTTGATTCTTTTAATAGCACATGTATTGCTTGCTTCTCATACTTCTGATATTGATTTTTGTCGAGTAATCCAATCAAAGATGGTTGATGATTACCGTTTAGTCGTGACTGTCAAAAGTGAAGTGAAGAATATATCTTTGTGAATGGAAAAATGCAGCATGAAGTTGATTGACTTCATCTCTGAAACACTAATGCAGAACTTCAAACAGAACTAGATGAAGCAACAAGAGTCAGCACCATATGGAATTCAACTATAGACGTTTTCCTTAGAGGAAAGGTTAAGAAAGCAGCCCTACCCCTAAGGATGTACTCAATATGTTCAAGGTTTCAAGCTTGCCCCATAAATGTATTAGAATTAAACTTTGGGATGATTTCCCTTCAGAGGTTTTTTTTTTTTTTTTTTTTTTTTTTTTTTTTTTTTTTTTTTTTTTCGTGGCGTCTTCCACCATATGCTGGCCAAATATTGAGCTTGTCAACAATCCTGAGCTGACCACATTATTACGTGTGCTTCAAAGTGTTCTTCATCCTCTAGCCCCAATTCTTTGAACTTCATCCCCTCTCTCAAACTTACTTTATTGTTTGGGTGATCCTCTTCAATAAATCGTAAGTACTCACCAAGTCCAGAAAACCCTCGTCACCATGTATGAAGTAAACCTTTTCAATGAGAATAAAATTACTTCTATCGTATATTGAATCAGCTAGTAAATTTTACCTATGCTGAATTCCCATAGCACACGCCACGCTACCATCCAATCAAGGGAACATAAATAATTATGTATTCATTTATGGTCAAAGTCATGCCTTGTTAAAACCTCAATCCATGATGAACTTTGAATGATTTAAGCAACGAGAAGTGTATTTCCAAGCTAGTTTTCCAAGATAATCAACATGATAAGCAAATACGAACTAAAACATAGGAATAATTGTACTCCGTGTTTCCTGAGAAAATACAAGTTTATCTCGATGATAAACAAATCTAATGACATTTTCATAAATAAATCAACAAAAAATCCCAGTCAGTAATTTTTACCCTTTTATTTTTACCCTTTTTTTCTCTTAACCTGTATGATCCTCCATTTCTTTTACTATTAAATTGGTAATAAATCGTTAGTTAGTGTTTTCATAATAGTAATTTTAACACATTTAACTAGGGGTGAAAAAATATTAGAGTGTGGTAAGGCGAAACTAGAAACTATTATGAAAGCATGTTTTAGAACTAGAACCTAGGTAAGAGGTTACGATTTCGAAAAGTGAATCTAAAAGGACACTTGACAATGTATTATTGAAAAAATTCCCGCTAAAATTACTTTTGAAAAAAATCATTATTATATTAAAATAACATTACGTTTAGATTATAATTTTTATTTTATATAAAATCTAAAGTAAACTTTCTAAAATATCAATTGCATATTATAACTATTACATATTTAAATATTTTCACTCACATGTTTTTATTGTTTTAATACATTTCAGTATTTCACGCATTTTAATACCTGATCAACCAGTTCATTTTTTATATATATATTGTAATATTTTGATTATAATTATTTAACATAACCTTTTTTTAAAGAGACCTAAAAATGCATAAATATTTTTGTTGAAGTAAATGTCAACAAAAGAAGGAAATTTTTTTATTTAAAAAAATCCAACAAATAAAAATATAGCCAACCAATAAGAGGATTTGTGAAGGAAGCAAGGGAAACAGGGAAGGCCCAACAAAATGACATGTCAACTCATAATTGGTCACGAGACACCGTAACACAAGCTGTTAAAACCACTCAAAATTACGAAACCACCCCTCACCAAACCAAAACAATTAGCTTCAGCACCCAGAAACCCCTTCAAAATGACAAAAATACCCTCACCAAACCGAATCAGCAAGATCGGACCCAATAAAACCCGAACCAAATAGGTTCGGATCCTATTCGATTACAGCTAGTTACAGGCTGTCAGCAACAAGTCCCTGCTCCCTTCTACCCCTTTTTTCTCGTCCTCCAGTTTTGGGTTTTCTCACTCTCTTTCTCTCTCTTCAACCAACTTCTCTGTTTTCTCTCTCTATACTTTCTCTCTCTACTGTGTGTGTTTCTCTCTCTAAAGGAGGCGGAAGGAGGAGGACAGAGCGTGGTTTGGTGGATCCGAGTTTGAGGAGAAGAAACTCAGGTATTTTTGGATGTTCGATCTGATTATGTTTTTGTTTTTGTTTTTTTAATTTCTGGAAAATTAGGTTTTCTTTTTGTGCAATGTCTGATGTTAGGGTTTCTGTAATGTTTAATTTCTGATCTGTGTTGTTGTAATTTGTGTGTTGTTGTTTATGTTTGTTTGTGTTTTGTGGAATTGATGTATAATTTTAATTTGATTGTGTGAGTGAATAATAGTTGGAATTAAAAGACGAGATTAAGTTGAAATTAGGCGAATCTTGTGAAATTTGAAGTGTTTTTAGTGGATTGGTGAGTGAATTTGTGAGAGTTTTGAGCAGTTATTTTATACATTGATGAAGAATTTGGTTGTATAAGTGAGCGAATTCTTGAGTGTTGCGTTTGAGTTTACTGGTGAAGAATTACAGTATATGCGAAGAAGATAATAGGGCGGTATTGGTTATTGTGAGAGTAATTTGTGGTTGAGTTGTGAAGGAATTCAAGTAGGATTGAAGGAAGTTGAGAATAAAACTTGAACTAAAAAGGAATGAAAGTTTATTTGATGATTAGTTTGCTTATTTGTTTCGAGAATGAAGAACGATTTCGACTGAATAATTATATGGAATACAAACAGCGGAAGATGTTGGATTTAGCATTGTAGTGTATGACTTTTAGGTTACTAAGAAGAGAGGAGGTTTTTCGGGGACTGAAGACAGAGTAAATTGTTCGAGGTTGATAGTATATCATAGGAATCTGTTGTGACTGAAGACTAAGTAAATTGTTCGAGGTTGATAGTATATCATAGGAATCTGTTGTGACTGAAGACTAAGTAAATTGTTCGAGGTTGATAGTAGTATATCATAGGAATATGTTGTGACTGAAGACTAGTAAATCATCTGTTGTGATAGTTATCAATTCTCAATTAACAGTGTGTGTTTATCATGAACATGTTCGTGTGTCACAGCGTGTGAAGTACGAAGTATTACTTGGGTAATGTTCAAGGAGGTATTTCGTAATCATTGTAGGTAGTAATGGCTATGACTGAGACTTCATTGTAAGTGATGGAAGTGGCATATTTATGCCCTGCATGCTTAGTTGGATACATGTCGATTTGTGCGACTCTAAATAAGATGTGAGCTAGAAGTATGTTAACTGCATTGTTGTTTTCCTTTGTTAGTGAAACTTGTTTGGGTTATTAGGATGCACCATGATATATCATATATGTGTATATGCACTTGCCACTATTGGTGCTCTCCTACCTAACATTTGTGTGAACTTTACTCTTTTATTCATTCAAGTGTCAGGAAAGGATTCATAAATCTCAATCTGCCTTTTGTTTTCAGGTGTATTGATTTGATTAGTCGTAGGGCCTGATTGATATATCAACAAAATAATAGAGATTGGGTGCAACTTTTTGTCATAAGGCTATTTTGACCTCATAGTGCATCACACACTTAAAGCCCAGCTGCTAAAGGGATATTGATCAAATTTTTTTGTGGTTACTGGTGCTGAAGGGTTTATGTCACTTGATGCTGCTAGGGTTGCTCAATCTCATATTGAGAAGGGAGCTTTGGCTTTATAATAGGCCCACTTACTGTCTCCATGCTGGCGGAGAGCATGCGTGGAATTTGTGCTTCGGGTAATGCCCCTGACCAGTCGAGCCGTCGATGCACTCGGTGTGGTGACAATTTCTCTAGTGGTTCTTTTGGTACTTTTTGGCGTGTTGTGCATAATCTACACATTGTACTTCCGTGCTCGTATTCAGAGATCAGAGCTACGTCGACTCGATTACTTTAACGGACCTTGGATAGTTCGTATCGTTTTTATTTTGTTTGGAATATGCTGGGGGATTGGTGAAGTCGTCCGATTAAGTTTCTTTAGGCAGGAGGGTAAAGTCTTTCATTCGCTAAGCCTAAGATGGCAGGAAGACATATGCAAACTATACATCCTATCAAATCTAGGGTTCACAGAACCGTGCCTCTTCCTCACTATGAGTTTTCTCCTAAGGGCATCCCTAGATTGGAGGGGGTCTGGTATACTAGACCGGAAATGGAACTTCAAGATCATTGGTTATGTTTTGCTTTATTGCCTTCCAGTATTCGTCTTGGATCTCTTTGTTGTCATGGTTGCCCCCAAATTCCGACATGGAAAGATTAAAGTGCTGAGTAAATTGCCAGAACAATTCATTACGGTATATTGGAAGCTGACTGTATCAGGCAACCCTGCCATTGCTTGCACTTACCCCTTGTTGTGTACAATACTCCATGGGCTGTTTGCCACCGTCCTAACCACTTACCTGTTATTGCTTGGGAGGCGGATGGTTGTGTCGGTCATCAACAAAGGGTTGCAGAAGAGAGTTTACATACTTATATTTCTTGTTTCAAGTTTCCTCCCTTTGAGGGTTATTTTGCTTGGTTTTTCAGTTTTGGCGAGGCGTGAGCATTTTCTCTTTGAAGCTCTTGCCTTTTCTAGTTTTCTTGTGCTTTTTTCTTTTGTTGTAGTGGGTATTTTTATGCTTGTGTACTTACCTGTTGCGGATTCTTTAGCCCTTAATAGGGGTGTGGGGTTTCCTGGCACAGAGGGAGGACGGTGCTACACCTCCGAGGACTATGCTGATTCTCTCTCTCTTGTTGCTGCCAACCAGAGCCAAATTGAAACGAGTACGGCTACAAGCCTGGGAAGAAACTCCGATGTCTCAACTAAACGGGGTTCCATTTCATTCCGGACTATGATCAAAGATGAAGCTTCTTCTACAAGTGGCGCATATGAGGAAGAAATGAGCTCATTTTCCCCATGTTTTCGTCCGTTAACTTCATCTCCTGGTTCCCCAGCTTCCCTACAGATGAAACTTCCATCTACATAGTTTGAGGCAAACTTCATCGGGGGAAACGACAGGCAGAAGAGAAGCTTTTTTTTCTTAGTTCTCTTGTCTTGATGATGATGTTTAAAAGAGGGTGCATCTGTAAGGGCAATTTCTGACAATTAATAAGACTGTATCTGTTCATAGAACCAAGGAAATGCTACCCACTTCAGCGTGAAAGTCCTGAGTAAAGTTTTGGCATTGTTTTCAGCATTCTTTAATTTTGTCATCGATAAGCAAGTGATGATTTTATTTTCTTACAGTAATAGTTAATCAGTGTGAAGAGTCTTTTTACCCCAAAATTTAATTTAAGTGTACAGGTTGGACGTTCATGGCAGTTTAGTTATCATCAATCATTATTGCAATTTAATTGTTAATAATACGCAATTTAATAATTAATAATAATACGAAATAAAATGTAAGTAAGATAATCAGAAGCATTTATAATCATAAATCCTTTGCTTCACGCAGTTAACCAGTACAAATTTGTTTATTTCTGACAGATAAAGAGTAAATAACTCAAAACTTAGAGATCACCAAAAATTACATGTACTGTAATTTTTTTTTCTAATACAACAGCTATGAACAGCTTTTCAAATTAAATACCCTCTACTTATGAAGATTTTCTTTTCATTAATCACTTATTTTCTTTTAGCTAATCACTCGGCATTCTCATAGCACAGCACATTGGATTGGATTGGATTGACGCTGAACAAGTACTAGCCTTTCAGGCGAGTAGGTATGGGAATTTGGGGAAGACACAATCAAAGTTCATAACCAACTAACAACGCTCACGATTAATGAAACGTGATACTCTCTCAATTTCCTTCATGATCATCTCCTTTTCCTCTTCAAATTGTTCGTCCTCTGAACCTAAACAAAAGACATTAAAAGTTGGTACTTAAAAAAGAGCCCATAAATCATGTCAATAAAGTTTTTGGCCTATAACACAGTAATACTTCTAACCTTTTCCAACAGAAAGACTGCGTAAAAGATCCAACAACTTCTCACAATTTTTCGCCAAGATGATTTTGATATCGTGCGTCTTGTTAGGGTTTGCGACAAATACCTGCAGATAGATAAATGAGTTTACCAAGGGCTAAATCTTCACATATAGACAGTTAGATCTGTGAATTATAACTCCCTAAATGCTCAAAAACAGAGCTCTAAATTCTCAAGACAGAAAGCAAATAGAATTTTCAAAGAAAGTTACCTTGAAAATGTGAAAAGCAGAAAGCTGGATATTTTTGCTCGAATCCTGTCCAAAACCAACATAAAAAGGAAAGCAGAATCAGAAAAGAGATTTTGAGCTTTATTCAGCAACTTAATAAAGTATACTTTGAGAAGTTGTATACATTCTACAGCTCCACTACAAGCATTAATTTACCAAAAAAAAAAATAGATTTCTGACAAAGGTAGGTTCTATTATTCAAAGATAGTTCTAGACAGTATTTATATTTTTATCATTATTATCGCAAGATTCATTAAAAGTAGTCCAAGTATGTTAAGGAAAAAAAAAAGGAACCTTAAACTAATGCTGTAGTAGATGGAAATAAAAGACAATCCCCGAGGGAGAAATTCAAAACCAGCAAAAACGGATGAAATCAAACAAGGCACCGTAAGTAAATTGATACCTTCAATAAAGTCATGATAACTTTCAGGTAACGTATTTCTAGAATATACTGCTTCATTATGTGCGAATTTGGCGGCTCTAAAAGAAAATCTGAAAGGAGCTACTACCCATCAACAGCAAACTATTAGTGGTGTAAATCAAAAGCATAAAATGAACATGTTTAGTAAATTACGTCAACAAACCTTTAGTGATTGTCTTCTAGTCACATAGTTTGTGGATGTCAAAAGCTTTTCATACATTTCAAAGAACTGAAACAATAGACATTGATTAGAACCAAAATAATCCAGGCAACAATCCTTTGTACACGTATGTGCGAGGGGTCGATGAAAGGTTGTTTTGTTTTAAAAGCTCTACTATTGTATAAAAAAAAGTTTATACGGAGTTGAACACGTTGAGAAAAGATTACAAACTAAAGCTTTAACAAATCCAATATGCCCCAAATTAATTTTGAGAAACAAAAATGCCTGACACAACACACATGGTAAACCAAAAAGGGTAATAAGATAGTTTACTAATCTTTTACATAAAAATGCAACAAAACTTGTTTGAAACATGCAAGCTTTTGCATTTTGCTAGACAAACTCTTACTAAGGAATTGGATTCTAGCACTTGTAATAAAATGTCAAAGTATGTCATCTAGGCCTGGGAGTAATAAGAACATGATTGTACCTCATTATAATGAGATGTCAGATATTCAGCAACTTCTTTACTGTGTTTCGTAAGCAGATCCTGTAAAAAAAATTGCAGGGTTACAAAAACATATACATTCTAACAACATATGCAAACAGATGCCATTGAAACACTGACCTTGAATGTGGCAAATGCATCTGAAGCAACATCAAAGTTGGGGAGTTCTATATACTTGAAGAACAACTCAAAGCTGGTAGACTCCAATATGTATCTGAAAGAATACTATAAAAAAGATATTTTAGAAAAAAAAAACCTTTGAAACATACAGTGCATGTAATAAATTTCGAAATGCGAAAAAACTAGAATAACAAGAGTAGTAGCATGAGAAAAAAATTGCACATCATCCTCTCAGAAACTCACATCACATATTCACATTTGCAGTCACCTATCTATCAAGGTTCTCTACTATGATCAGTAATTTGGAGGGTTCGCCAAAATTTAACTCCATTTCCAAGAACTAATGGTATCCTCACTTGATTAAAGCACCTGAATAAGAGCAATATGATTCACGGACATATGATGTAGATGAGAAGAAGGGATAGAAAAGAATAATTTATAGCAGAAGAATCTTTCCAAGGTTTGACTCTTACTCATCTTGACATTATTATCTGACCATGGGGAAGGATAAAGAAGAAAATTAGAATACAAACATTCATGGTCCAAACAAGAAGCGCAAGTCCTAAAAAACACATCTCATCCGGTCATTCATTTTGCTAAAGACCATAATCACCTAAGAGCCAAACAATCCTTTTTGTTAGGTCTGCAGGCTAACTCCCAACCTCCCACCCTAGTAATAGGCCCTCTTTTCTTACCCCACCCAACAAGGATATTACACACAAGTCTTCCGAAGCACAAAGCAGCACCATGGAAATTCAAAAGAGACAGAGAAATGATAAAGAGAAACGCACAGAAATATATATAGATAATGTCACAACATTATCTCCCAAAAACATTGTTACATCACTTTTATGATACCCCAATGTTATGTCAAATGCTCAACGCTTCAAAATACATATGAGCATGAAAAAATTAACCATATGAATTCCCCAAACAACTCTTAGTGACTCAACACAATCCAAGGTCCTAAGCCTTCCTCGAGAAAGAAATTGCTTATGTCTCAAAGGACCAAGAAATGGATTAAAAAGTAAAGGAGAAAGGGTATCTCCATATCTCAAACACCTCCAAAAATCCCAAACCACCTCCAAGACAATACATTGATTAATCAACCAATGATATGCAACCCTTAATCCACTTCGTTCACCTAGATTAGGCCTTTTAATTCCACAATCCATCATACACTTTCTGAAGTCAAAATTCAAAACATTGTTCTAATCCCCTTATTCTATTGTCATCAACCACATTACTCATGAATATGTGATGTTCCACAAACGTTCTCTAGGCCTCCAATAACATTGAAGAAAGAACAACCCTTAACAAGTAGAAAGAGCCTTTCTTGGGAATCGAGAGACATACACATGTTGCCTATCCCTGCAACAGTGATGCTAATAAGTCTGTAATCCCTATTTTTTTCAAGGCTTTACTTTCTTGGGAATAAAGAATTACACAAATACACACTGTTGCCTATTCCGGCAGTCACTCATGACCACTGGCCACTATTGTTTAAGGCATCAGCAAAAGCTGACAGTCCTTCCTCCTAAATGTCGCCCGCTTTGCTACTCTATAGATACTAAATGCAAGCCTCTCTTGAGTCATGCCCTTCTCAATTTTATTTTACTTAAGGCCAAATGGAATTCTTATTAATGTTAGTCCACATATGTACAGCAGCCAACATGATATAGTCTCATAAAATCAATTACTAACCTTAAAACCTTAACTTAATTCAACTAGAGTTTATGTATAGTTCCGTGAGTCTCTGGAATTCTACTGCATACTGCTATTCTTTCTTCACAAGGGCCTTTTAACTTGATTGCCTCCAAAATCAATGAAGAATGAACATCCCCTAACCTAATAGAGAGAAACATTTCTTGAGAATTGAAATTGCATGATACTGTCTCATAGATTCGGAATCATCATGGGAAATGAACACAAAATGCTAACCACCTCTTCACATAACCCATATTTGTTCTCAACAAAATGAAGCCAGAGACTAAGATTCATCAGGAAAGCACCATAACCTCTTGAATCCCAATTCATATTTCCTACCTCTGCATTCCAACAACACACCAATCCCAAATCCTTCTAAGCCTTATAAGCACTAGCTACTGAGATCTTGAGAGGGAAATAGTAGAGAGGTTGCTTTGACCAAAATTAGCTCCATCAATTCAGAAGATTACATGTAAAAGACCAAAAATAAAATAAAATGGTGCACTCAACAAAAACTCTGGAAAAGCTTTAAGTAAGATATGCAAACTAATCAATGAGCTATTTAAAAGCCAAACAACATGAACGTCTTACTTTGCAAGTGTTTGAAATTTGATGCATTCCCTCAACATAGTCCCACAAGTCAAGGCAGCATCTTTGTTATCATAGCTGCTCAAGAAAGGATGCACAAATTCATCTATATAAGACAAAGAATGTTAAAATAAATAATAAAAATAAAACACTTTAGAAATAACCACAAAGGTGTTAAAATATTGAATGTACCACATGCAATCCACATCAAACCCATGGCAGATAAGCACTAGTCAAAAAACACATAGATTGTTAATGCATTGGTTTGCCAAATTGATCTTTCACTTTCAAGTAAGCCAAAACATATGCAAGATTTCCACTTGTATCAAACCTAATTATTCATCAACCAGAGACGGGGAGAGGATAGTAGCAAGACATCCCAGCAGTCTCAAATAAAAACAATAAGGAATAATAAAAAAAATTAAACCAAAAAAAATGGAAAGAAGCAAACAAAAAAAAATGCACACTATCGATGCACTTTAAAAAAATATACTTCGTATATAAACTCAAAAAAAATAATTGATCCTCTTTTCGGCCACAAAAGGTAAAAGCAAGCACATACAAAAAATCTTATCTTAAAGGACTGGACTTTAAATCGTACCCCGTAAAAACTATGATCATACAGAAAAACAGAACAAAGAGGATTACAGCCAAGTTTGTCACGGGCAGCTTTCTAGCTTTTAAGTGTTCAGAATATCATAACAATCTATGGATAAATCTATTAGAACTACTGAAGAATGATTCTGTTTTTCCTCATAAATGACTAAGGTAAAGAGTGCAAATGTGAGCAATAAGTCAAAAAAGAAGCCTAGGCGCCTAACTAATCAAGCATATACAATGGGGGATATAAACAAGAAACTTTTTTTAAAGTAAGAGAAAAATGGAAGCAGAAAAACTCAATTTAGCACATAAGGGGATATAAGTAAAATAAATGAAGCCCCAACTAAGCTTACCAGACAACAAGGAAGTCAAGCAACTCTAAATGATTTTCAATGTATTCGATACAGCAATATGTGTCGTCCACTTGTTGCTTTAACAGTACAGACCAACATGAGACTAAATCTTTTCTCGCCTGCCCGCAATTAAAATGGTAAATGAGAAACCAAGTGAGGATGTACGTTGATAAAAAAAATAAAAAATAAAAAAAAAATAAAAAGTTATCTATGACTTACTTGCCAACCAAACACATGTAACTTGTGAACTAGAAGAGGGATAACATCTTCGTTACATATTTCAACAGTAAGCTGCAGAATCTGATCTGTGTTTGGCTCAGATTCGCTATCTCCACAAAGCATCAGCCTCATCGTTGACAAGTTTCTTCCTACTTCTTCTAAAGCCTGTATTATAATAAATATAAACTTTGGTAAGAGTGGTGAAAGAAAGCAAGAAGAGAGAGAGAGAGAGAGAGAGAGAGAGAGAGAGAGAGAGAGAGAGAGAGAGAGAGAGAAGAAGTGGAGGGGTATGCATTGTCACCAAAAAAAAAAATATCTTTCTCAAAATTCCATATGACGATTGTAGAGAACACAAGTATGTACTTGAGAAAAGTAAGCATGAGCAAAGGAAATCGTAAGTAAGATCAAGGCATGTGAATCACAAAGTGATAGAGTAAAAACTAAACAAGTGTGACACTTACTAGTCTAGTTGCACCATCCTATAATGATCTCATATATATAGTGCACACCAGACTTAACATTGATGATGAAGGCTCACATGTCAATGCTATTCTGAGATTATATTTAAAATGTACTCCAAGCATGGGCTTCAACCCTCTCTACAATATTCCCTCCGCTTAAAGGGCCTGATTCACTTTTAAACATTGCTGAACCCAAAAATGTGAGATTGTACACAATATTGAAAAGCAAAACGAATGGAGGGCCAAAGAATATTTTGAACGATCAGACAGCTAGGGTTCCACAACCCACCTCCTCCCCCCCCCCCCACAAAACAAAACACAAAAAAAAAAAAAAAAAAAAAAAAAGAAGAACAAAAAAAAAGTATCATGTGTCCTAAACTCCTAATACATTAAACATGCTCCTAAAAGATTATGGCAATTGTCAACCAACAATTAAAGAACTCTACTTGGATTTCTTAGTTCTTTTCTATGTCTTCTAGAATCTCTTAATCACACATCTAGAATTTCCTCACATTCCAAAGTCTTCTTCAAATGAATGAAAGGTTGCACAGAATGCTCAACTACAGTCCCAACACGACAGCGTTGATGTGGAAAAATCCAGGCAAGAGGAGCAAACAAATAAGTCCCACATTGTCTTGTATTAAGATGAAATAACAACCAAAGTCCAGTCAAGCTACAAGCGGGCAATAAAACCATCCCTAACCCCAGATACAATTGCCTACAATATTTACACAAATCATGATATAATCGTCATAGGCAAGCAGAAAGTTGCTTTCCCCACTTGCATTAAGCTACATAAAGTTGTCAAATCAGGTGTTCAATATGGGATGGGTTTGAGTGATTTTGAGTCATGTTGAGTGAATTAGCTAATTTTTCATGTCATGAGACTCGTGTGCTCTCAGGTCGGGTCACTTATTGACAGCTCTAGGTAAACGAATACGAAGTATATTATCAAACCCGTAAACAATCTCAGCTGCAACTAAAAATTGACTTAAAACAGAAGCCACTACATTGAGCATTCAACCAGAGATCTAAAAATTAAGACTCCCACCTTGCAAATAATCATGAATTAAGATAAATTCCCAACATCAACTATCTTACCCACATTACATTCCATACACTAATAACAAATTGAAATTAATTCAACCCACAAAATTAAAACACCATGAAATCAATTAAATCTCAAAATCCAACAAGAAATATTCCAACAATGCATCAAAATCAACATACCCACATGTAAATAAATCACAATAAACATCCAAAACAAACATCAAACTAAATAAAAACCAAAATTGGAGCAACAAAATCATATATTTTGAAAAATTAAGATTAACCCATAAGAGATAAAGGATCAAAATAGTAAAAAAATAACCTTTTCAAGAGCTTTAACTTCGACAACGGTGGGAGTGTCAAGGGCCAAGAGGCTGTCTTTGGTAGACCTGAGAACCTCTTGCGGTGTTTTAGAGCGAGGTTTGAAGAAAAACGACATTTTTTTTGTTGTTGTTAAAATGTGACAGTTTTCTCTCTCCTCTGTGTGAATCGCCGGCGGTGAGAGTTCAACAGTTATTTTTATTCAGGGGAATTGTCAAATGTGGGACTAGGAGAGACGTGACAAATCAAATTTATCTTTTGTTGCGTTTCTTAGTGATTTGCTAAGTAATGATTACATGTTTTTTTTTTGTTTTTTTTTATTTATAATTTTTTTGTTTAAATAAAGTAAGAAAAATAATCATTAGGAAATCGGAATTTGTAATAAGCTTTTATATGTTATACTAATTAGGGGTAAGCATGAGTCGGGTACTCGTACCGGACTTTGGGTACTCGAAATTTCAGATCGGTTATCGAGTACCCAATAAGATATCAAATACTAGTAATAATGATTAAACTTAATACTACCTTCGTTACAGACTTACAGGTTATGTGCAACGATTAAACATTTTCCCCTCAGCTTTATGTCAAATCGTTGCACATAACTTGTAACGGAGGTATAATATAGTTATTATGATATCATTTAACACTAATTAATAATAATGTCAAATGATCTTGACCAAATTATTAACAATATTACTAATCATTGATATTATAAAGTAATTATTATGTAAAGTAAGATTTTAGATTTTGGAAAAATAGATTTAAGTAGGAGAAAAAGCAAAAAATTGTTTATCGGATCGGATAACCGTTGATTTTAAAATTATACTCAATAACCATACCCGATAACAAATTGCCGGAGCGAGTACCGTTATGGTTATTGGATGAGTACCCTAATTTTCGGAGCGGGTTTTCGATTTTCAGGTAGTTTTGCTCAGCCATTATTGAATAATACTACGTAGTTGTTAACACATGTTATAGCTAATGTGTCTTTTGATATTTATTCATTCTATTATACACCATCCGCCCCTTTAAATTCGACCATTTTGAGCAATTTTCACGGTGATTAAAGAAAGTGAAAGAAGAAATAGTAAAAATATATTGAAAAGCGAAAATCACATTTGTTTGCAAAAAAAAAAGTAGAAAGAGAATTACATAGGAAAGGAAAATTTATATGGAGAATATAATTTTGCACAAATATTATAGAGTATTTTAATACAAATTGGATGATCATTTAAAGATTAAAATTTGGCTATAAAAGTCGAACTTAAAAGAACAAATGGAATAAGAAATTAATCAAACCCTCAACGAATGAACGCATGTAACAATAATATGTTGGTACGAATTACGACAAATTCAAAGTTGCAAACTCCTTCCTCCGTTCTATGATAAATGACACACTCTTTTTTATAGACATTTTGATTTTCTATTGCTCATATACCGAAAAGTAAATGTTATTCTGTATCAAGTAAAATATTTTTTTGTTTCTTTGACAAAAATGAGTAAAATATTGTTAGATAGGTAATAAAATAAATTTTTTTATAAATCAATTAATTTCATATTGAGTAACTTTTATTAACATCCTACCTCCAATTACATTCATATGCAACTTTGGAATATTTTATATCTCATAAATAATGCTCTAATGTTGCGTATAAAGGTAATCGAAGGTAGTATAATTTTATATTAGGAATCAAATCAAAACATTAACAAATGTTTCAAATTTGACCGTATCAATTAATTTTTTTTTTATTTTTTTTTTGAAATAAATCAATTCATTAATAAAAAGTAAATAGATACGTGCATTATGTATGCCAAGGAATAATTCAAAGAATAAAAAATCGATGAATAGGACAAGTATTGCAATTATTTAGAAACGGAAAAATACAACATAATTATACGGAATAATCAGAAAGCATCTTCCCTCTCTCTCTTTCTCTCTCCCACTCTCTCAGTCTACCATTGAAGCGCGCACTCCACGTTCTCCATTGAAGCGACTCCTGGCATTTCTTTCCTCCATTGAAGCATTTTTCGAGGTAATTTGTTGTTTCTCTTCGTAATTATCGAATATCAATTTCACAATCTAGGGTTTACCGTTGACATAATTCTCAGTATAGTGGTTATTCTAAACTCGATTATTGAATTTTTGGTTATAATTACTAATGTTATGGAAGATCATTTGGCTGCTAGAGATGAATATCATGTGATTTTTTGTGTCTAATTTGATAATTGAATCAAATTTGCGTTTAATGTTAGGTTGAACTGTGAAATTGGAGCATTTTTCCATGAAATTATGTGATTTTTTGAGCCAAATTTGATTATTGAATCGAATTTGGTTGATAATGTGTTGCAGAACCTTTTAATGTTAGGATGGAAGTCATGGAACTATAAACTTGGACCTTGTCGCCATTGGCTCAGGGTCGGGCCTGACTGAACCCATGCAAGAGCTTCAATGAGTTCTGTCTATCTAATTCCTTAAATGGTCGGGTTGGAAAGTCTTAATTTTAATTTTAATTTCTTTGTTGCTCGTTCTTGCTAGGCCGGAGTGTTAAGCATGTACTTCTCCGCATCCTCTCACACTTGGCTGTTTTTCTTACTAGTGTTATTGGTGTTATGTAGTTGTTAAATTTTGATTTATTTATACTAAATGTTATTTTACTGTTTGTATTCAATTTTTGGCACATTGAAAGGATATATTTAACTGTTAATTTCGTTTATGATTATATGTAGTAGGAATATCAGTGGGAGAATTTTTGGGGTGTTTGGTTAGCTGTATGAAACATTAAAGTCCCTGTAATTGTATTCAAAGTAATGGTTTGTCGTATAAGTAAGCTTTCTGACGGACCAATTTGTTAAATTGTAAAGACGCTAGGGAGAAATGGACGCCTACTGTGAACCAACGTCATTTTTCTGGGTTGAAGAAAGTAAGGGGCAAGCTTCTACTCCAAGACCAAGAAAGAAGGTAAAAAGGAAGAAGGAATACGTGGGTTGGGGTTCAAGGGAGTTGATTGCATTTCTTGAATCAATGGGCAAGGATTGCGCCAAAGCGCTTTCCCAATATGATGTCACCAATATAATTAATCTTTATATTAATGATAAAAAGCTTGTTCACCCAGAAAATAAAAGGAGAGTTGTGTGTGATGAAAAGCTGTTTCCTCTCTTTGAAAAGAAGACCATCTTCCGGAATAAGATACATGATTTATTGGAGTCACACTTCGCCGAGAATCAAGAAGATTCAGATGACGATAATCTTGGCAGCTCTGATGAAATTGATGAAAATGGTTATTCTGTCCCTAAAAAGCTGAAAATTTTGACAACTCAGTCTAAGAAAAAGGCTCCAGAAGTCTCGAAAAGCTGCTTAGCAGCTATCAATTCTGATAATATCAAGCTCTTGTATCTGAGAAAGAGTTTGGTTCAAGAGCTGCTCAACAACCCAGAAACATTTGAAACTAAAGTAGTTGGGAGTTTTGTTCGGGTAAAATCTGACCCACATGATATTTTCCAAAAAAACTCTCATCAGCTTCAACTTGTCACAGGTATCGGTCTTTGAACATGCATTTAGTATTAAGATTCATACAATTTGCACCTCTGTTTTGCTGATTGTTATAACTCCTGCCTAATTTTACTATATTAGAAAGATTCACTTATTAATTTTAAGGTGTCAAGGAAGATACTCCAGCTGGTGAAACAAAGCCCTCTATGCTTCTGCAAATTTTAGGCATGACAGATGTCATAAGCATATCTGAACTTTCAGATGACATTTTTTCAGAGGTAAATTTGTTCTTCAGTATATAAACTGATTAGGACTTTATCCATTTATATATATATTTTTTGCCAGTTGGTAATTTACGCTGTATATTGTAAGTTTATGCACTTGAAATACTTTTTCCACTTTTACTTGTCCTGCCCTGTGCAAATCACTAGTCTGGTGTTAAGGATTAATGCATTTTAATTGATTCTGCACACGTGAGGTGAGTATCAGGTGACAAGAAACTCTAAGTATCATTGATTGTCACTGCGAAAGAATTCTCTAAATTATTGAGTGTAATGTTGGAAATTGTCTTAACCTATCTTGTTACTGCTTGCATGTTTCCTTTTGTGTAACGATCTCGTGTCTTAGATTAATTCTTATACAGGCAGCTTTAGATGTTCGCTACCTGGAACAAAGCTGATATAAAACCCCTGTATTGTCTACTCAGCTGATACTTTCTGTACTGTAGGAAGAAATTGAGGAATTGCGTAGTAGAGTTAAAGACGGTTTACTGAAGCAGCCTACCATTGTAAGTTGTTGAGATTTTGTTTGTTCTTGATTGTATTTCATTTCCCATTGTCTTCTTATAAGTTTCCAACTTTTCATGGCTTTGCTGTAGTAGGATTTTCATTCATCTTTACTTTCATGATTTTTTGAACATGAACAGGGTGAACTTGAACAAAAAGTAGTTGTTCTGCACGAGGACATAACTAAACATGTATGTATACTGTTCTCTCATTGCATTTGATATTATCTATAACTTAGCTGCTTGACTGTTAGCTGGGATGTATTGTCTATGTTGACTATGTAGGCTTGTACTCATGTAATTTAAAATTTTGTTGGCAAGCTGTCTGTTGGTCCGTTTGCATTTTTTTTTTCCAAGAAGTAATTGTGCATATATTCGCAAGCTACTTTATGTCTTCTCAATCTTAGTTATTTTACTTGTCTGATGCCATTTTTAATTTTTCATATCTTCTAACTTCTTTTGATCTCATCCCAAGATGGGACATAATCATGCAAGGAGTCTATCACTTATCTGGTGGTGCTTTTGAATTTGAAAACTTTCCTTGATTAAGATAGACATGTCCCAGAAACAGAGGAGAGAGAAATGCATCAAAGGCACAGACTGCCTGTCGCTGGTTAAAGTTTACTGGAGTTTTTTTTAGCTCGTACTTGTTAAGACTTTCAGCTTTAACCTTTTGATAAAATTTGTTTTAACATGTTAAAACTGCAGATATTCATGACTAATATGAATGATTGGCGACCTTCCTGTTTTCCAAAAAACACCAGACGTGCTTAGAGCGATAATTATTTGTTAGTTATTCACGACTAATATGAACGAGAATTATTAATTATACAGTAATATATATGTAAAGAAACTGGTGTGGGATATGATAATGAGACCTAATTCCAAACACCAATTTTGGTATGTACTGAATTTTTAGAATCTTGTCTTTTTCCCGATTATTAATTATACAGTAATATTCAGAGTAGATATAAGGTATTACTAAGTTACTCCTCTCTCTCTCTCTCTCTCTCTTTTAGCCCCCCTTATCTGCTCTCAATATTCCTTTTTCTTTTTATTTCGTTCTTTTTTTTATATATTATTATTTAACTTGTTTTAACCTGTTAGTCCTAATCTGATATTATTCCATTCAAAGCTTGCACGTATTTAAGTCAATCGTTTGATGACACAGCTGCTTGATAGTTTCATAACTTGCTGACACATTTGAGAGGTCTAGTTAAAACTAAATGATGCAGACTCTGTTTGGTTTGACAGAAAACATTTTCAATAGGAAAGGTTTTTACGGAAATCATTTTTTCAGAGCAATATACAATTGTAAAATTGGCTCTTTTTTGATTTGTTCCTTACAAGAAAATTTAGAGAAAAATGGAAATGGAAGGGAGAGGAGAGATGGGTGGAGATAAAAAGGGGGGTAAGGAATAGAGAGGGAAGTCAAGCTTCCCTTCCTCAACATAGGTAATTGTTTTCTGCACTTGGTAGTTTTTTCTTCACTCTTTGGGAATTTTTTTTTTCTATTCCATTACAGACCAAGTTAAGGAAAAATGGTAAAATAACTTTCCTGGATAATGTTTCCTCCCATCCAAACTCTCTTATATTAATATTTATCAAAATGTGTACTACCATCAGGATAGTTACAAATTTCATATATATGTTCCTCTAAATTATTTTGTGAGAGCCCAAAATGCATAGTTTCAGCAGGATATTATAGAAGAATGTGTAAGGCTTTATGCCCTGAAGAGAACCCAGTTTACCAATAATCTTTCTTGCCAATGTTCTTATTTGAGAATCCTTTATGTTTTGTTACTTCAAACAATTTGTCTTTGGATTTTAAGAAGATTCACCGAAAATGCCTTTTTTTTTTTCCTCTTTTTTTGAATGATAATTATAATTTGAATGGATTGGAAATGAGTTTAGGGCGTGAGAGAAATTTTAAGTGTATTCTCAGACTCCAACTTTTTAGATTTATGACATTCTCCAAGTAGGAGATAGGGACATTATTTTCTAGATACGTGTATTCTTACTAGTCAAATTTATGACATTCTTGCGACTTAAAAGTGATGACATTCTATTTGATGTAAAGAGATAAGAGAATTTGGTAAATGTAGTTATATTAATTTTTGCTCCTTCATGTAACATAGTCATTACTTAGTTGCTGCTATCTACTCTCTTGAAGTGCTTTTCCTAGTTATTATGCTGTTAACTTGATTGAATCACACACACCTTGATCTGAAGTTTTTTTTTCTAACTCATTATAATTTGAGCTCTGGGAAAATTTGGATCTGCCATGATATTGCAAAGCTTTGTTTGTTGATTTCTTCATATTTGATAAGTCAAGCACTGTAAATTCCTATCTAGCTATTCTACGTATTGTTTATAACTTTAAATTGCTCCCTAAAATCACAGTTTCAGCATCCATATCCTTAGGTTAGTATGTGGTGACTTGTCATGAGTTTGATACTTAACATGCTGAACGAATACTATAGTAGTCAAATGGAGAGTAAGAACTTGAAGTTTTTGTATCATTGTCTCAGAAGGTTCTGTAGTGTTTGTGAGGTGCCTTTTTCTTATCATGTCGAGTACTCGAGTGTGAACCTGTTAGGAATATAAAGTTTCTTTTTTTACTTTCCTTTTTTTAAGATTTAAATAGTAGGGACAATGTGGTTGGTTAATTTCTTTCTAAATCTTATTGTGATATGTAAAAATTTGGCAATAAAGTATTTAACATGATATATTTGAGTCTTTTCTTGATCACAGTGGCTTGCAAAAGAACTTGTACTTCTCAAGAATCTTATAGATCGTGCAAATGAGAAGGGATGGCGTCACAGATATCCTTTACTACTATTTCGCTAACTTTCACTATTGGTTATTATTTAAAAGTAACGAGGATGCTAGACCTGATGTATTGGTTTTGAATCTTTGTCTTGGGATACCATTTCTATTGGTTTTCCACAAGCAGGATTAAATTCGGTGCATGGCATAACAAATATGTGCTCCTCTGTTGTCTAATGTGCTCACATTTGAATAATTATATGATGCTCCTGCTTATCCTTTACTAGTTTTACAGTGAGAGAGTACTTGGACAGAAGGAAGCTGCTTCAGTCACCTGATGAACAATCACGCCTGCTCAATGAGATTCCAAAGGTGATGGCAGAAGAAGTTAAACCAGAATTAGTTTCTGAACCTGCTCCTGATGATTCGCCAAAAGCTGCTGACTGGGACTGGGAACCTTTTAATTTCTCATCAACTAAAAAAGATGTGACAAAGCCAGAAGTCTTAATTAATCAGAATGGTCCAGGTCTGCACTTTTACTTTAACTTTTGTGTCTGTTCAGAATAGGGTATGTCTCGGGTTCTCTCATTTGGAGCACCCTTACCTGCACTTGCTGTGCATTTGAGATCATTAATAACTCATTAACTTGGTATGGCTTCTGCAATGATCATTCTGAAACTTTTAAAGCTTTAGTAATAAATAGTCAATACAATTTTGAATTTTGGTTACATGGGTTTTAAATTTTCTACCCTGCTTATTGCTAGCCCCAAGAATTCGTAATCTGGTTTTTGGGGCTGTTAATAAAAGGATATCTGAAATTAAATTGTTAGTTGAATCTTGTATTAACTTTTTTTGGGTAGTGGTGAAAAATTGATAGCTTGATATCATCTAAAGTGTAGAAATTGAAGTTTTAAAACCTTCTTACATGATCTTTCCATGTATATCTTTGTTCTTACTGTTGGGGTTTATTACTGTGCATTAATTGCAGTGGCAAGTGTGCTTTGAGGGTTTTGGTCATTTCTTACTATACACGGTATATATTGGTAAATAGTGGCCATTGATTATTGTAGTTTAATTATTGTTATATATATATTTCTTGCATCAAATTCTGTCAGACTACCCTTACGGTTTTGAAGTTGATTCAATGTACTCAAAGATTATAAGACTAAAGACTGACAGGAGAAAATTGGAATAGTCACGAAATAACACATAAAGCAGCATCCTGGTACTGTAATTTGAGTTGTTGCCTACTCTAGGTGGGCTAGAGCCTAGAGGGTGTTATGTTCTTAATTTAGCACACTCAATTCTTGTCGTGGGTAAATTTTGCAAATTTAATCAGCATGTCAAATACAGAGTACTCTGTATATTTTTGGTGTATGATCGAGGAAAATAATTATTAAGGTGATTAATATGTTCATTACTTGGTAATTCATATGGTGATGTCTTGCATCATATTTATAAGCACTGGTATTAGAGAAGAAAAAAAAAAAGGATTGGGTGTGCTTTTATGTGGGACCATTATAAATCAATTGACTCTATGCTATAGTTTAGTCCCTGGATTACTTGTTGAAGCTAGTCTGTAAAGGCAGGGCAATTTCTTTGTGATTCCTTGGTTTTGAAGCTTGCCATTTCAACTGTTCAAATACTTGGTGTTAACTCTATACTGGAACATGTTCCCTATTCCATTTCGTTTTTATAATTGTTAATAGATACAGAGTACTTCAGTGCTACACCTATCTCGCTATTGTCTATGCTATTTCCTCCTCCCTTTTTAGTAACAACTAAACTGATTTGTGACAGTATTTCCCATTGAGCTTCAAATTATTTCTTTCAATTTGATGAAGTTAAAAAATTGACTAGGTTAGCTCGTGTTTTCTACTCCTCTTCATTATAGTTTTTCTCCCTCAAGCTCAATGGCTGAACTTCACGCACACCATGATGACCAATATAATGTATAATATTCAGTGCAGCCATCATTGGCTAGCATGCCCTAGCAATACATGGAAAATTGACCCTTTATTCTAGTCAATCTCCTTTATTAGGAGGGCCAAGTTTCATTCAATATATTAATTGCCAATTTAATTTATTTTTTTCATTTGTTTTGAATATTTCAAAACATATTTGTCAATTACACTTAACTATATCAAGACCTACATTTTCCTTGAGGTAGTCAACTCAGCTTGAGACACGATCTTGATGAAATTATCCAGTACACCAATCAACACTATTATGTATCCCTCGTCTCATTAACTGCGTAGTTAGATTGTTCTGAAATAGGTCCAAGTGTATATAATTAACACTTTGCTTTCTATCATTTTTTTGTTTTCCATCTATTATGAGTTATGCTTGTAAATTCCAATGTTGAAGCATTTGTTAAATATACCGGGTCCCTGCTTTATTATTTGAATCCTGTATGTCATGTTATGCAGTGATGAAATCTTTCCTAGTTACTCCTTGTTCATTAAAACTACTTTACTTAATTGCTTTTGAAGCAATCATCAGTACAGGTAGCATGTTTCCTTTATTACCAGTTATTTCTTTATGGTTGTTAACGAAGTTCCACAACTTTTTGCAGCAGCGGCTGTGGCAGCTGAAGTCAGCACAAGAAGCAATGGTGATGCACATACTTATAGCCCTGAAGAAAGATGCCAGCTTGGAACTGGCTCTTTGGCATCAGTAATAAACTTATCTGCTCAATCCTTAGAACCGAAGGAAAGAGAAGCTCCTAAAGTAGAAGCAGTTAATGTCAAAGGCAATGGCAATGGCAATGGTTACATAGAGTTCTCAAACTTAAATCACCTAGGCATCCCCAATGGGACAAAGCAAGAAAGCAATGGTCATATACAGCTCCCGAACTCAAAAGAATTGAAAACGATTCAACCAGTGGTAATTGATTTGAGTGATAGTGACGAAGAGCAAGAAAATCCTAGTGTTGGGACCCAAATTCCAAGACAACGAGAAAATCCTGGTGTTGGTGCCCGAATTCCAAGACCACAAGAAAATCCTGGTGGTGGTACCCAAATTCCAAGACAACGAGAAAATCCTGGTGTTGGTGCCCGAATTCCAAGACCACAAGAAAATCCTGGTGGTGGTACCCGAATTCCAAGACCACAAGAAAATCCTGGTGTTGGTGCCCGAATTCCTAGACCACAAGAAAATCCTGGTGTTGGTGCCCGAATTCTAAGGCCACAAGAAAATCCTGGTATCGGTACCCAAATTCCAAGACCTCAAGAAAACCCTGGTGTTGGGACCGAAATTCCAAAACCTCATGCGGAGCAGTCATTGTGGCATTACTTGGATCCTCTAGGAAGAGTCCAGGGACCATTCTCCTTAATATCCTTAAAGCGGTGGAGTGATGCAAACTATTTCCGACCTGATTTTAAAGTTTGGGCAAATGGACAGGGCCCTCAGCAAGCAGTTCCATTGACCCTTGTTCTTCGGCATATTTTCCCAAATTGATTAAGGATTGTGTACATACAATGCTGTCCAGAGCAATTTTTTCCAACTGTAACTTTATGTAAAGATTGCACAAGTTTTTAGGTCTAGGCCTTTCTGTATGAACGAACCTCAGTTATAGTTTTTTGAGATGAACAATTTTTGGGCTGATGTGTCTTATTCAGTTCATGTTACATCTCATAGTACCAGACTATCAACTCTTGATATGAAATAAATGGTTGGTTCTTTTTTCTCTCACAGGTCACAGGCTCACAGCTTACCTTGTTCCAGTGTTACATAATTTGTGAATCCTCCAATGAACTGGTGAATCGAAATAGGGCGATACTTGAAAGAGGTACTTTGTAGCCAAATAAGTTGGTGAATTGAGGTTTTATAGTTACAAAGTTTAATAACAATGCCTTGTACTACTATCAGATATTTTATGCTCATATGTTATACTTCCTCCATTAACTATTAATTGCAACAAATGGGTATTATATGTGTGTATATCATATTCCTTTTAATGAAATTTCAGCCCAAGGCTGATATATCAGCTTACAAACCTAAAACAAAGGTTATTTATACTTGCTATTTGGTTGTATTGTATAATTTTGTTCTAAAACGTCAAATTTTAACCTTTCATTTTGTTCTAAAACATCAAAGCTTATCAAATATATATATATATATATATATATATATATATATATATATATATATATATATATATATATATATATATATATATATTTTATTTATTTTTTTTTGCTAATTTCGAGTTCGATTTGAAACTTTAGGGACTAAAATAACCCCCCTAAAATCTTAACGGGACTTTTTGGGATGCAAATCGAGGAAAAAAAAAAGATTCGGTGGCAATTAACAAGTTAATAGTACTTGCGTTAAAAAAAATAAAAAAAAACAAGTTATTTACTTTAGGGCTGTAATTTGCAATTTTTTAAAAATGGTTGTAACTGCCAAAATATATATTTTAAATAGATGCAATTGGCAAATTTTTCTAATTCATATACTAAGCATTACTAAATTTTATTACAGCTTTATTTGGAATTGGGGGGACATATACCCTTTGTTCCCAACTCCATCACTGCTTGTAATCCTAAGCTCATATGGAGTAATAAATATTCTCATTGTATTAACTACGGAGAAAATGAAAGAAACTGAATTTGAAGAACAAAAAAATACGAGTATCAAATAAATACTCATTTGTATTAAGTTGTACAAAATGAAAGAAAAAAAAAAAATTTAAGGAAAAAAAAAAAAAAAAAAAAAAAGAAGTATCATCAAATTAAAACGTCATAACATAAAAACGGATGGAGTACTATAGAAACGGAATGTTGTGGAGGGGCTAACTGGATAAAGCTTCCCCTTGTAATCCATGCTCATTTTGCTTTTCAAATTCAAGAATTTGAATCAAAAATCATTCAATAGAAGTCCTGTTAGCCGCGTAAATAAAAAGCTACTACTAATCATTCTTGATTACCTCTTTTGAATAAGACCCTTCAATTCAAAACATTTGAATTTTAGGGATGACATCTTCATTATGACTTTAACTATACTGTTGGAATATCACAAGAGGTTTCCCTCACGAAAAGGAGATTTGACAAGAAAATTCTACAAAACATATTATTGTACTTGGAATTATAATTGGCCAACTTAATTCGGCCTCAAGCAACGAATACCGCCAACATTACAACAGATTACTTCAACTTTAAAAGATGTAATAAGAATGATTATGTGACAGATTGTGTTCATAACAATAATACCAATATGACATTAAATATATAATTAGAAATATAATGCAACAGATTGTTCATAAAAATAAGGAATACCATAACGACATTACAATTGACACAGTTTGACACACGAAAAACAAAAATGAAAAACCAACCACCACGATGATCCAGCTGGTTGCTGACTCGCTTCCAGCCAATCACTTATTCCGGAATATAGAAAATACTAGCAACTGAAATAAACCTTGCATCTTAATACGAGTACTTAGTATGATATTGAATTAAACTGGATATTAGATATCACTCTTCTTCCGACTCGGACTCAGCACTCTGGAGCCACTCCACAAAAGGTTTGACAAACTTCCAAATAGATGAACTCTTGTTGTTGCCAGTTGATCCCTTCTCGTACCACTCGACAATGGTTTCTTCCTCCAGCAAATCGGCATCATAAAGAAACTTCAGAGCCACTGCTACATCCTTGACAGCATCGGGGCTAGCTTTTCCACAGAAGGACTCAATGGCATGCAACAGGATTGGCTGTGAACCTTCAGCATAAGCTAGGGCAGCAACAATGTAGTTCTTTTTCTTATTGACCTCCTTTGCAAATCCCTTCTGCAAGCCGTCAAAGAGAGCCTCAAACACAGCATCCACAACCTCTTGGGGGGTACCTGAGCACGAGGTTAAGTGGGTTTTCAACTGATTTGCAGTTGGACCTTGCTTCAGATATTCCTTCAAGCCTCTGATAAGAGTCTCTTGTGGGTCAGCAGAGAGAGTGCCATTTTGTTCTTTAACCTCAGGTTCTGGTTTGCGAGGTGGGGACTTCTTCCGAGGAGGAGATTTCTCTTCAGTTGAGAGCATCACCATGTCAGCTGTCACAGCACTAAGCTGCTCTGTTATCCTCTTCTTAGCAGCCTCCATAGATGTGTCGGTTAGCCATTGAACATCGTCCCCATCGTCATCATCTTCATCATCAACATCAACAAAAGGTTCATTATCACCAGCCTGGCTTCCAGTAGGAGAATGGTCTTCATCAGAACCCTGGGTCTTCTTCTTGGTTGACTTAGATGCACCTTCTTTTGAGGACTTCTTCTGCTTCGCTGCCTTATCGGCAGCTTCACCATTCTTGAGGCGTTCCTTCTCAGCCCTCCTCAAGGCCTTCTTGTCCTTAGATGATTTCTTCACTTCAGGAGGGTTCTTAAGAATAAAGGTAGTGAGCTTGTCTCTCATATCCACATCAGACACAAACCCACAAGCAGCACATTTAAGCTGCAACATCTGAGTCTTGGTTATCAGAATCTCAGTCTCAGGGTTGCCACACCCATAGCACTGAACATATTTCTTGATAAAATTCTCCAGAAGTCCAGCAAGTTTTGCTGTATCATGAGCTCCATTAACAAGGGAAACCCCTGTCTTTTCGTCAAATTTGGATTGAGCTCCAAGCTCACAACCAAAGTACTTCGTCGTGTAGGCAGCAGGCCGAGCCAAGGCTTTCGCTATGTCAACCATGTTGACAATGTTGGTTTTGATGCCATTACCACGACCTTCAATCTTTGTGACCATCCTAGGCATCTTATACCTGTAGAAGGCATCATCACGGTTTCCAGCACCAATGTTCTGAAGTGCCATATTGCCTTATGAAGAAATTGGAGTTTGTTAGGAGGCAATGAGAGGAAGCGCTGATATCTGAAGGAAAGAAGGCTGCATATAAGTGCAACCCTGATGATTAAGAGAATAACCGTCAATATTCCCAATATGCATACAACTCAATTTTCCGGAGGTATGACTATCCTTTTTTCTAGACGTAGGGCAATATTCTCCAAGCAAGCCGATTGATGACAAAAAGAGAGAGGCTCGTTCAGACATAAAAAAAGCTTCGAACTCCACTTTTACGAACTGCGGCTACAGCACGGCTATTGCCAATCCTACAGCCAAGAACACTAAAATAAATAAGTCATGAACAAAAAAGGAACTCAGTCATAGCAAAAACAACATGTAAACAAGTAAACACGAAACCCTACAGCTCAAATATGATACGATAGGAGTTAAGGCACATTGACAGCAGAATCAATGTTGGCCATAGAAAAATAACAAATTAATTCCTTAAACAATAAAAGTTGTTCATAAACCCTAATCAAACGCAGTAGGTTCGGCAACTCGTTCACACGAAACCAGCAAATCATTCAACAAGGAACATCCAAAATAGCAAACAAATAGTTTGTTTCCATTTTTATATTGTTATCGAACACATTAGGGCAAAAAGTAAAGCTAAAAAAACTATTGACAACCACCTATTATGGAACAACATCAACTTAGCAAAAAGAATCTTAAAAAGGTGAAATAATCATTCAGCCGCAACCAAATTTCATTGCAGATCTTAGAAAAAATCAATAGATGCTCAAAACACCAAAAATAACTTAACATCAATTTTCATGAAAACCTCAAAAAATCTAACGTTATAAATTAATCAACACAACCAATAACAAAAACAATATTCCTCCGTAAACATAACAAAAAGGTCAACCCTAATTCATACTCCTATCAACAAATCCAAACACGACGAACACATACATCAAAAAAATCATCAATTAATCCAACAAAAACATCATAAATCAATGCGTCAACAAATTTAGGTCAAAGAATATTTCATCGGAATCAATTAATCGAAAATCAAACAACAAAACCAATAATAAAAAGCAAGAAATCGACGAAAATCAAACATATAAACAGATCTAAGATAAAATTCATTGAATAAGCAGATAAATTGCAATAATAATTGAAGAAATTACTGTATGATTGAGAGAGAGGATGAAGAATACCTGGTAATCGAGGAAAAGGTGAGGAGAGAGAGAGAAAGGAGCAGGCAAGAGAGGAGAGAGAAAATGAAGAGAGAGATTGAGTCGGCAGTAACGTAGCGGCGGTACATTAGAAGGGCAACATGTTTGGTCATATTTATATCCACAAATCACACAATTTTAATCCTACTAATATTCTGATTATTATTGTTAATTTTAGGAAGTAGACAAAGGAAAAATATTGTGATTTTTAGAATTCTAACCCTAGTTGGCTTTATCTTAGACCTTTGTAGAGTTTTGTAAAGTTTTATCCCATCCACTTCTTTTAAAATTGTTATAAATAATTAGAAAATTGGTGATGGGTTTATAGTGGGCTTATATTATAGCTCGACTTTTGAGTGGGTAGGTTGTAATTCGAACATTTGCCCTAAAATTAAGTCAAATATGTCATAACTAAGGAACCGCCTTAAACTTTTTTTTGAAAATCTTAAGATCAAACCTTATAGAATGCGGGCTTTTAGTCCAATAAAATTTGTTATGTACACCTGGGTGTACTGTACACCCAACTAACTTAAAATTAGTTTTTGCTTTTCATTTGATGATAAAATGAAAACCAATCATCACAATGAGAACAAATACTCGTGGATGTACGGTACACTCGGATGTATATAACAACTTCTCTTAGTCCAAAAGTGAATCCATGCGAACCTTGAACTAAACATTCCTAAAATTAGTGCCTGATGCTTTTTTCCTTCTAGTGTGTCTTGCAATCCACTACACAGCTTAATTTGTTTTTTTGATCATCCTGTATAGACATGACAGGGTAAAGTCGTATCCCCTAATCAAAAGTAATTACCTAAGTCTTCTAACTAAAACAGATAGGGAAGTAGGGTCGATCTCCACAGGGAAACAAGTCTTTCTATTCCTAATTAACTATTATAATCTAGATTAGGAAGTAACCAATATTTATATTTAAATATGAAACTAAACTACTAAGATTGAGAATAGGGAGAAAATAATATATAAAAGGATCTAGGGTATAGGGTCACCAATAAATAATACTCCAGGGTAAAACATAGTAATCAATCATTGACATTGCATAAATAACACGATTAACAGGCTCTCGCAATTTATTAATCAACATAGATCTAACAGGCTCTCGCAATTTACTAGATCTAAATTCTTATTGAAAATAGCCTTTAATATCAAATTAATATCTGCTCGATTCATCAATTCAATATTGCTATACTTTTACAAGCCGCAATTGTAAAACATTAAAACAATTTAATAAGAAATTATCATGCAATACCAATAATCAATAATAGTCAATCATCAATGCATCAATTAACCAGATTGCAAAGGGCTTTCTCTACGTATTACAATCACAGAATTAATCTACCGGTATTAAATCTCATCTCTCGAATCTCGACTTAACCATTTATAAATTAATCTGCCTATTAAAACTAGACCTAAACATCAATTCTCATCTGTCGAATCTCGAATCAATATTGTTAAACTCATGCATAAAAGATCTGCGTAAATCTAGTCACAGAGCATTAAATCAATCAATAGGAAATTAATCTAGCATTGATAATCAACAACAATAAATTACCCCTTCATATTATTTATGGATCCCCATAACCCTAGAAACAAAACTATTCGCACATATTAAGAACTAAACTAATCAAAGCAATAAAATTAATCATGATGAAAGGAATAAAATAAACAACTAAGATTAAGGGAAGAGAAATCGTTACCAATCAAAATAATTTGGAATTAAGAGTGGATTAAGAACAAAGGTTTTAGAGAAAGGAAATCTAAGAGAACAATTAAGAGAGTAAAGAAAGAGTAAAGAGAAGAAGATGATTCTAAAATCGTATTACGGAGGAGTATTTATACTCCGTACAAAAATCCTAAACTAAAACAAATTAAAACGACGTTAAGCGTCCACTAATAAATACACACGCCCGATCGGGCGCGCCTTCGGGCGCCAGCCTTTGCTTCCCTCGCCCAGCCGGGCGCGCCTCCGGGCGCCAGCCTCTTTGGCCGGGCGCCGACCTTTGCTTCTCCCGCCCGGCCGGGCGCCAACCTTTTTGGCCGGGAGACTCTCTTGGGCCACTATTTGGACTACGATTGGGCTCCAATTCTTCGGGCCAATCTGGGTTTCCTCTTTGGGTCTTGAATACTCGGTCCAAATGCCCCGATATCACACATACCAAGCCCTTAATCACCGGTTCGATGGCTATAACCGGCCCTGGGCTATAAAATCTGGTCGTGCTTCTCCAATGCTCGTGATTGCTCCAAAATATCTCGAGAAAATACTTCAAAAGTGTAAATCCCTGCAAAAGTAAACCAAATCTACGAAAACACTAGAAAACACCAATTAGTAATAAAAGTGGCTCTAAAGAGCCAAAAACACTACTAATTATGACCGAGGGACGGGGGTAAAATACAGTATAAAATAGACACATCAAGACATAACTTGACTATCACTCGAATAAACTCGGCTTGGGTCGACTTGATCGTCATTTCTTTTCCCAACTAATCAACGTTTTTTTTTGCAAAATAATATAGCTCTCTTTACCAACTAATACGATTGAATTTGGATTTCATGTAACTTGATTGATATATTTTTCATCCCTTAAAAAATTTTATGTGGATTATAGATGGTAGTGTGGGCCTGTTCTGATTTATTGAATTGAGCTGAACTGAATGTTTTATGAGAGAATGAAATTAGGAATTGAACCGATTTAAATTGAGATAAAATAAACTGAACTGAAAAATAAGCTGAAGAGAATAGGCCTTGACTATTGAACCAGTATTATAACATATGAGTTTCTAGGTGGTGATGAAGTTTAGATTTATTGTGGAAACCTCTGTGAGAATCAATTGACATGTCATTGGTAAACAGGGAAATTCTATATTGTGTCGTTGTACACAATATGATACTAACTAGTTTATTGTGGAAACCTAGAGATAAAGGAGAATATTTCAAGAATAGAAGTATAAAACATAAGAGTTATTTATATTATTCTAAAGGCTTATCAAGTAAAAAACAACTTTAATAAGGATAAAACATATTTTTTAAAACCGCATATTTTTTTGTAACAAACTTGTGTCTATGTTAATCAATTTTGTTCTACATGGTTTTTTTGTTTTTTTTTTTTGATAAGAAATTTTGATCTACATGTTGCATACACTTATTGGAGAATGTATGAGGTATCCATTTATCCTAGATTCCCAAGTGCTTTCAGTTATATAGATAGATGTAATATACCGGTAAGTTTATTCCTTTGTTGTTAAAAAAAAATAAAAATCTATCAAATAGGATTTTAAAGGGCATTCAAAGAAATAAGACTAGACCAACAAATTAAGTTTCATTCATATGTCTCTCATTGACATGAGTAAAAGCGTACAAAGTGACAAAGGAAAATCAATCTTAACAGAGAAACTATAGCCCGTTACCCGGTATGGACCCCCCTGTCCAATACCTGAATAAAAAAAATAATATTTGTGAATTAAAAAAAGGCAAAATAAAATAGGGGATGTTTAGGGTGAAAATACCTAAGACACGTGGCCCAATAAATGCTTGACACGTGTCAATCTTTCAGCAGTCTGCAAAGGCCCATTTCCTTTGCAGACACGTGTCTCTTATACCCTTATTGAGGTACAGTTCTCCCTTACTATAAATAGTAAGGGTAGACCTCATTTATGAGGGACGGACATTAATTGCAACCACAACAAACCAAACAAAGCCTAAACCTACTGAAACGCTCTCGAACCGAGAAGCTTTTACAGTTCTTATTCCACTTCGAAAAGATACTAACTTAATCTTCGGAGGCGGAACTCCCACCCCCCATCCGGAGTCTCCGTTACTTGTGCAGGTACAGGTGCAAGAAGGAAGTCGGCTAGGTGCAGGTACAGGCGTAAGAAGGAAGTCTGCTAGGAAATTGTAACTCTCCCGAAGGACACAGAAAACCCCCAAACATCTGGCGCCGTCTGTGGGGAGAGTACTTTCTAGATGACATCTGAGCCTATACTACCTGGTAAAAGCAATATGCCTACTGGGGAGGTTGAGGTCCATTCGGACCAAGATACAGCCGATAACTATGACTTGGAAGCCTACACTGCTGCAGATGGTTCTTTGAGGACCAAGAACACCCGTTCCAAGGATAAGAGAGAACGGGAAGGGAACCAGGCGGCTCCTAGCAAGCCAACTAGGGGGCCGCTTGGGTTAACCTCTACCGCTGGAGACTCCCCAGTCTCCAGAGATGAGCTCATGAATATGATGATGAGCTTCAAAGGAGAGATCAAAGGCCTTCTGGATTCCACAGCCGGCCCCCGTAAGGGTCAGGCGGAAGAAAGGAGTCACGGTAAAAAGACGGCCAAGACAGTCAAGGGTAGAGCATCTACCCCACATCCGAAGTCAGACATGCCAGCTAGGCTCTTTGATTTCTCAAAGATGCACACTCCTATAGATGGAGTCAGAAAGCCCGTCCGGCACATTCAGCCGGATGGAACCAAGAAAGTCTATTCTGATGCCCGGACGCTCATCCAAGATAAAAAGACTCAGCGATCCGAGTCGGCATCAACATCGACCTTTCGAGACAGCTTCAATGTCACCTCAGAAAGGCACTCGAGAACAAACAATGACAGCCGGACGAGCGAGGTTTCCGCTCGATCCGGCCCTCATATGATCCAACCGGCAGTGCATGGAACACCGTATACGCCCTTTGGATCCCCCTATGCACAGGCAGGTATTTTCGGGGGGCAGCATCAGTCGCCCGTCCAGCCTATGGACTGGCAGCTCCGGCTGCTCAACCTTGGGGAACAGCCAACGGCGTTCTCCAGAGAAATTACCGAGACGACCCAGCCGTCTAAAATCAAAAACGTGTTGGTAGGCGCCTACGACGGTACCACCAACCCGGAAGATCACCTTATGGCATACACCAACCTGATGTATTTGCAGGGTTTGGATGATGCCGCATGGTGCCGGTGCTTCCCGGCAACGTTGAAAGGGATTGCTCAACGTTGGTTTGGTAACCTCCCAGCCGGATGCATCAATAATTTCAGGACCTTGGCCTACTGGTTTACGTCCAACTTTTCTATGAACATCCCTGCCAAGAAAACAAGCCTTGATCTAGGG